AGCAGTAAAAATGAAGCTTGAAATCGGGCAGGAATGAGTGTTCATACGCTTACAATGTGACCACCTTACTGGTGGCTTTACAAGAGAAAACAAGCATCATCCCCGACTACAGTCTCCCTCTAGAGAGCTGGCAGCTCAGCTCCCGAAATCTCTGCGTTCTTACCTTTCCTGGGCCACCACCCTCACCCCAAGACTCCCAGCCCCCAAACTCCACCCTACGGAGCGCCCATCCCTACGCCCTGCCCATCTAAGCCCCGCCCCTAGGCCCTGGACCCCGCCCTCACGCCAGGTGCTGTCGGGCCGCCGGCACAGGTAGGTTTCTCCAATTTCCACGGTGACTTCTGGTTCGCCACGCGCCGGGGTCGGCGGAGAGACGCGGCCCGGAGACCGGGCAGGCCCCTCGACTGCTGCATTTTCCCCGGGCCCGGGCTCGCCCTCCCCGACAATTCCCGAAGTCGTTGCAGCAACTGCGGCTGTTGCTCCCTGTGCCGCCATTGCGGTCCCGGAAGTGATGTCGGTGACCTTAAAGACGGCCGCTTTTAATTCCGGGTGAGCGGGCGAGGGGGCGGAGTCTCAGCGTCTAGAGGTGGGAGACTGATGTGGCTTTTGTTTCATGGTGGGTAACCCGTAGAGCTATTGGTAGTTAGTTACTCTAGAAACCCATCCAATCTGAGTTTCTCTCTCTTTTTTGATATAGCCCTGACTGACTTGGAACTCGCAGTGTAGACCAGGCCGGCCTTGAACTCACAAGAGATCCACCTGTCTCGTCGGGGGCTAAGATTTAAAGACGAGCGCCACCACGCTCGGCGTTTCTGTTTAGTTTTTGAGACAGCGTTTCTCTGTGTAGCCCTGGCAGTCCAGGAACTCACTCTGTAGAACAAGCTGGCCTGGAACTCATTGAGATCCACCTGCCTCTGCTGGGATTAAAGGTGTGCACCACCACCGCCTGGCTTTGTTGTTTTGATACACAGTCCCATGTGTGTCATACTTGCTGACCTAGCTCCTCTCACCTTAGGTTCCCAAGAGCTGGGATTAAAGGCTAGCACCACCTCCCTCCCCCCCCCCTTTTTTTTTTTTTTTGAAAAAGGCTCTTTCACCGTCTGGCCTCAAACTCATTGAATTAGTGGCAATTATCTGGGGGTTACAGTTGTGTTCCATTATATGAGCTTCGGGAGTCTGAAACCCAGGGCTTCATGCATGCTACCCACCCCATCTTGCCGTTCTTGTTCAGGGTGGGAGTTAAAACAGTTGAGACAGGCTGGGCGTTGGTGGCGCACGCTTTTAATCCCAGCACTCGGGAGGCAGAGGCAGGCGGATCACTGTGAGTTCGAGACCAGCCTGGTCTACCGAGCGAGTTCCAGGACAGCCTCCAAAACAATACAGAGAAACCCTGTCTCGAAAAACAAAACAAAACAAACAAACAAACAAACAAAAAAAACAAAAAACAGTTGAGACAGGGAAAGAACAGGTGTGTCAAATAAGTACCTTCACAATAAAGTTTTGTTTTGGTTTGGTTTTTTGGGGGACAGGGTTTCTCTGTGAAAAAGCCCTAACTGTCCTGGAACTAGCTCTGTAGACCAGGCTAGCCTCCAACTCAGAGCTCTGTCTGCCTCTGCCCGCTGGGATTAAAGGTGTGAGCCACTACCTGGCTCACTTGTGTCCGGACAGGGCTCAAACCTGTAATGTTGCCAGAGGTAATCTTGAGCTCTCATCACCTCCCAAATGTCGAGGTTAGGATGTGTGCTACCCAGCAGTTCATGCACTACTAGGGATTTACCTAAGGCTTCATCAATGCTAGGCAGACACTACCAGTGAACTACATCTCCAACCAGAATGGCACCTCTTAAAGGTCTGTGGGGGAGGCTGAGCAGAGATGCAATAAAGAGCTTTTTGGGTGTGGCTGAAGAATCAGTGTACCAAATTCACTGAGATTCCATAAAGATTAAACAATATGTACATATGGTCAAGTCATAAAATTATATAAACCGTATAACAAAATTCAAGCTAAACTTCTTATTTGGTAGATAAAGTGGAGCGACACACATCTAATTTGCTTTGTCGCTTCACCCCCCCCCCAATGATCAGGTAAGGTATGTTTTCCTTCATTACTGTGTTGGGGTACCTAACAATTATAATAGCCTGCCCAATGCATAATATTTTAGGGACGGTGCCATTGGCAAACTAGTAGATGAAAAGAATAACGGTTTGTTATATAAGAACTTACTTTCTGAGCTTTGCAGACCTGAGAAATATGTAGTGATTAGGAATGGGTGTGCATCTGTGAGTTATGTTGTATTTAACTCTGAAGCAGTGTTGCTTTGCCCACCTAAAACACTTGGTTGGTCTAAGAAAGAGCTGAACGGCCAATAGCTAAGCAGGAGGAAGGATAGGCAGGGCTGGCAAGGAGAAATCTAGGGAAGAGAGGATCAAAAAAGGAGAGAACCCAGGGGCCAGCCACCAATAAGGAAAGAACTATATAGAGAGTAAAGAAAGGTAGAACGCTCAGAGGCAAAAGTAGAAATGGGATAATTTAATTAGAATAGCTGGCTAGAAACAAGCCAAGGCCAGGAATTCATAAGTCTCCCTGCATTTATTTGGGAGCTGGGTGGCAGGCCCCCAAAGAGTAAAAAAACCAAACTACCCAACCCTTTTCAGGATTGTAATTGCATTTGCTCAGGCTTCTGTTACCTCACTTCATCTTCGCCTGACATCTTCATTTACAGATGATGGCTTTCCTGAGTAAGGATTAGCCTAGGCATAGTAAATCCATTGATCAGATGTGAGCACACATACCTCTGTGCTGGCTTCATGCCAACCATGATTCTAACATGCAAATCCAACTATCCTTCTAGAACTGTGTGGGGACTGCACCCAGACCACCCTGTTATTATTGTGTGTGAGTATGGGCACACATGCATGTAGGTCACAGGATTTTTCAGGATTCAGTTTGTCTTCTGTCTTGAGTTCCAAGGGCATGACTCAGTGGCCAGTGCTTTTACCCACTGAGCCATCTCACCAGGTCCTTTTAGTATGTATCACAGCTACGCACCTTCAAAGACCCGAACATGAGACTCTTCTTTGACAACTGCCTAAGGGATTTGGTGAGGCAGGGTTTTGCAAGCAGTCCAGACTGGCCTCGAACTCATGTTCCTCCTGTGTTTAAGTACCCCCAAGGGCCAGGATCTCAGGTGGATATCACATTTGATTTGTTTTGTTTTGTGTAACAGACCTGGCTGTCCTGGAACTCACTTTGTAGACCAGGCTGGCCTCAAACTACAGAGATCTGACTGCTGGGATTGAGTGCTGGGGTTAAAGGCATGGGTCACCACCTCAGGCTAAGAGTTTTCAGTCTAGGAATTTAAATACTTTCCTACCTCCACATCCCAAAACAGGGATTGTCAAAGTGAGGGAAATCAATTACCATGGAGCTTAACTTTCTCATGTCTACTTCTGAGGAAGAGTGTACTAGCTCTAGAGTTTTTATTAAGATCACTTGCTTGACCTCTCCTGTTTCCTTTTGTGCTTTCCCTACTCACTGATGGAAGTACACCCTCCACCCCCCACATACAATGGGACCAAGGACATTACAGTACCAACCCTGGAACCACTTTAGCAAATTATCTGTACATAAATCTTCCTCAAGATCAGTTCCTAAAGAATCCAACCTGGGGGCTGGAGAGATGGCTCAGAGGTTAAGAGCACTGGCTGCTCTTCCAGAAGTCTTGAGTAGAATTCCCAGCAACCACGTGGTGGCTCAAAGCCACCTATAATGAGATTGATGCCCTCTTCTGGTCTGCAGGCAAACATGCAGACAGAACACTGTATATATAATGAAATAAATAAATCTTTTAAAAATTAAAAAAAAAATCCAACCTGAACCATCATTTCCTATCTTAAAACCCATCCATGGACTCCAACTGTGTCAGGATAAGGCCCATGCTCCAAGCACTGCACACTGGCTGCTGCCTACCCCTCTGGCAGCCAGCAGGATTTTCAGTGCAGCAAGACATTGTTATAGTTTCCTACAACCTGTCATTTGGTCCCCAGATACAATTTGCTGTTTCCCCTCAATCCAACAGTTCTTTCCAGGAGAGGCAGGAGATATTGACCTACAACCAGCTTCAGGAAGACAACTGCCACTTCAGGTGGCAGAGGCAGAAGAGAGACTGCAGCAGGTTCAAGGCCAGCCTGGTCTATAAATCAAGTTTCAAGCCAGCTAAGGCTACAGAGTAGTCTCAAAAGAAGAAAAATCTGGGGATGTAACTCACTTGGGAGAGTGTTTGTCTAGCAAGCAAGAAGCTCTGGGCTCTGTCCCTAGCAAAGCATAAAAATAGGTATGGTACTGGATGACTGTATTTCCATGGCGAAGTTCAAGTGTAAAGCCAGCCTGGACTATACGATACCCTGATTCAAAACAAAACCCAGCAAACAAACAAAAAGACCTGATTCTTCTATCCAGTCCCACCAGGCAAGCCTGTAGGTCCTAAACAAGGGGGAGAGGCACGTTCAGTTGAAATCCCATCTGAAGTTCTGTTCTACACAGTTCTGATCGTGTGCTTTTAACCCATGTCCTTAGTCTTCCCTAAGAGGACTTCTTTGTTTGTCTGAGGTGGTCTCTGCATAACCTTTGGTGTTTCTTTTTGCAGCCATAGCGGCCATGGTTGGCAGGCAATATTTTTAACCTCAAGAATCAGGTGGCTTAAAAGGCTGCCCAGTCTAGTGACCTTCACCTCTAAACTCCGTGACTGCCAGGAAGGGGAGAGTTCCATTTGGACTTTTAATATCGTCTGGGGCCCAGAAAGATTTGTTCAATGAGCAGAAGCTGCCAAAGTCACCCCCACTTCTGCCAAGTTAAATAGGCAAGAACCTCAGGGCCAGTCCTCCTCCTGCCAGGCTGGCTAGAGGCTGGGACGTGACCAGGTTAACTCCCAAGGCCCAGGGAACCCAAAGGGAGCAGAAACAAAAGCTCATCTGCCCTCCCAACATGTGGGGCCCAAGAGGGCATTCAAAATGCAAACTTTAATAAACAGCAGGTCAAAGAAGGATCCTCAAGACTGAGAACAGCGGAGCTGGTGTTGGAGGCCTCAGGGGCTCCTGCTTCCTCCCTCCAAGACTTGGAGTAGGAAGCAGAGGCCCCAGTGAGGAGGAGTGGTGCCCAGCTCCATGGAAGTCCACCTGTCTGAGGCCATGAGCCCCAAGCAGCAGTGTATGCAGCGTAGTGGCCCCCCACCAGGCCCAGAGGGTCCTAGGAGGAGTGTGGCAGGCTAGCAGGCCAAACTCCGCAGTCAGATTCTGAAGCTCTCCTCCCGGCCATCAATGTGGCGGAGCCGCAGGTAGACATCTGTGCCAATGCCCTGCAGGGACTGCAGCTGCAGGGAGCCACCGAGATACTCCGCATAGGCCCTGGACGTGGGCAACCCGAAGCCAAAGCTGGGGGCAGTGGATAGGATAGGGGCTTCAGAAGCGTGAGTGTCCTGGTCTACCCTTCCCCCCATCTTGGGCAGGTGGGGCCTCACCCATGCATAGGTCCTGTCTGGCTGCCACTGTGCATATCCAGGTGGCCGAAGAGGGGGCTGATTCGGGGGTCCTGGGTGCTGGCCTCAGCTGTGGTGAAGTGGTAGTCCATGACCCGATCCAGGTCTTTGTGAGCAATTCCTCCACCCCGGTCTGAGATCCTGGCAGGGTAATGACAACAAGGACTTGCTCAGGTCTGATGAGGTCTCACTAGGTTCCTAAGCTGAATCTGACTTCCTGTTCCATCTAAGGATAGAATGTGGCTTTATCTTTAGCACCTCTGCCCGGGCCACAGACTATTTATACTTTCTCAGACTATTTGACATTTACTCTTACTCTCATCAAACACCATTTGCCCAACTCCAGGTTCCTCAGCTGGCCCCAAATTCACAATATCTAGCTCCTGGTTGAGAGTTCTCAGGATCCATGAATTATCTTTTCTACCAGGATCCAAGTCCCAGAGGTGGGCAGGTCTGCTTTGAGGTCCTACAGCAAGTTAGAAATAGTGCCTGGAATCTTCATCCTCCCCAGCCCAATTCTACTTGAGCAAACCTGATGATGAGATCAATATCATTATTGGCGATGGTGATGACCACATCTGGAACATTGTAGGGAGTATCTAGGTGACTCTCCATGGTGGCTCTATTCAGGAGAGAAAGACCAGTAGATGGTGGCATCCTAGTTTCTGTCCTTCCCCACCCAGTACAGTCAGCCTGCCTACCTCATGGCATTCTTGAGCAGCTCAGGTAGGATATAGTCCAGCGGCATGGGAATGAAGGGGAAACGGGCAGCCACATGTCCATTGATGCGGACTCGAGGGGCATTGCCATACTTGTGCTCACACAGGCGTCTGTGGATATAAAGGTTCAGTAGATGTCCTAAGAGTTGTAGTTCTTGCCAAGAGGCACTGGGCAACTCATAGATGGTTCTGCTCATCACACTGAAGGGCACTTCTGGTGTCAAACGAATAGAAGTCAAAGGTTGCACTAAACAGCCTAAGCAAAGGCAAAAGAGCCCTCCATTAAAGACATCAACAGTGGAGCTGGAGAGATGGTTCATTGGTTGTTAAGAGCACTTGTTCTTGGGCTGGAGAGCTGGCTCAGGTTAAGAGCACTGGCTGTTCTTCCAGAGGTTCTGAGTTCAATTCCCAGCACATGGTGGCTCACAACCATCTGTAATGAGATCTGGTACCCTCTTCTGGTGTACCAGCATACATGCAGGCGGAACACTATGCATAATAAATAAATAAATCTTTTAAAAAAAAAAAAAGCACTTGTTCTTGCAGAGGACTCAAGATCTCAGCACCTATGTCGGGCTGCCAGACCTGACTGCCTGAGCTTAATCCCCTGATTCCTGCATAGTGGAAGAGAAAACTGACTCCCATCAAGTTGTCTTCTGACCAAACTGTGGCACACAATTATCCAATCAAACACACACACATTACATTATTAAATGCAATAAAAGAAATTTAAACAAAACTGGCTGGAGAGAAGGCTCAGTGGTCAAGAGCACTGGCTGCTCTTGCAGAGGACCCGGGTTTGGTTCCCCAGCACCCACGTGGTACACAGACACACATACACATTAAATAAAAATACTTTTTAAAAAGCCAAGCAAAAAACCTTGCCCTAGACCACACAAGGAGTCACACAGACAGACGCCTTCCCCATACGAGGACTCAAACAGATTCCTTCCCTGCCCCTGAGACATCGACCCCTTGTACCATTCTAGTCTCACCTGGCAAAATCCACCCACTTCTCAATAATCTTCTTGGGTGACAGACGAGTGCAGATGATGCCAACAAAATCAGGCTGGCAGGAAAGAAGAAGGTTCGGACTAGCAAAACCCCTCCCCACCTCAGCGGCCAAACGCCCACAATTTCTGGAATGCTAGAGCTGCCCCAAAGCCCATCCCCATTTAACATCTCGGGTCAGTCTTGGGGCTCAGCCCACCTTGTCCTCATGCAGTGCCAGGTGGTGAGTAGCCAGCATGCGGATCCCAAGCCTTGAAGTCAGAGTCTTGTCCAAGAAGTACCGGACCAGCTTTTCATCCTAGAAAGAGTCGGCCTCTGAAACCTGGGTCCCTTCTCCACCACACTACTTATCCAGGCCCATTCTCCATCGCCTCTGACCTCTATGTGTTTCCGGCTCTCACGAAGACCCTCAGCTAACAGGGTCACCACATCCTTGTGGTCATCCAGCAGCTGTCGCACCAGCTGGCAATACTGGGCCTCGTCTGCCTGGTCCTTGATCTGCAGATGACAGAGTCATAAGCACAGTGGTCGGACCCTGACCTTGGCCCCTCACCCTACTCAGCCTAGCCTCACCGGAGGGAAGTCTGTCAGCTTCTGGAAGGCCCGGATGTATAGCTCGTGCTGCATGGAATAAGTATGGTGGGAATTCACAGACACTTAAATAGAAAACAGTCACCCATGGGGACCCCCACCCAACTCAATTAGTAAGGTTCAAGCCCCATAAACTCTTCCAATCCCCACTGGTTATATGTAGTCTTGGCCTCTGATGTCCCACCTGGACTTGACATCCTTCAGCAAGCCCCGCCTCCCCCACTTAGTCCCGTCTGGACTTGACATCTTTCACCACTTGCCTCTTGGACACTGTGCAGACTGAAAGAGCGAACGCCCCTCTACCTTACCACATGCAGTATGGTGGGATTGCAACCGATGATGAAAGGAAGGCTGCGGAAGCCCTTGATGCGGTGAGCAATCCTCACTGGTAACTCTTGCTGCAAGTAGCGGCCACTTTTCTAGAAGAAAAAGAGGGGAGGGCCTAAGCAGCTGGCTGCAATCTCTGGAGCAGAGAGGAAAAGAGAGAGCCTTACCAGAAGGTGGCTGCCATCCTGTGAACGGCCAGAATAAAGCATCATAGTGGGAGTGAGGCGGACTGAGGGCTAAAAGGAAAGATGGACTTTGAGCACCAGGTTTCAAAACCCCACCAACCCCACATTAGCTCAGTCCTGTCCCGGAAGACGTATTCCAACTTCTGCTAATCACCCAAACATCCTACCTTCTCTGCTGCCACGTCAATGGCTGACTGGTTGTAAAAGGAGGTGACAGTCTTGGAGCGTTCCCTGGCCAGCTCTACATGGTGTGTATCGGTGGCTGATGTTGAGCGAACCCGGAGTGACAATGAGGACCCCAAGAGGGGCCGGAGTGAAGGCCCGCTCCGAGGGCCGCTGCCCAGCACAAAAGTGAGTATCATTGTCTTGTTTCTTTGTTGAACTAGGCTGCCACTGTAGGACTGAGGTCCGACAGGCAGGGGTGACCCCAAAGAGGAGCAGAGAGTGAGTGGGCAGGGCTTTCCTCGGATTTCAGGGATGTGGGTCCCTCGAGGATGCTGACACGCTCAGCGCTGGCACAACAGCTTCCATCTATTGGAGTGGCAGAAGACGGTTGTAAAGATCCGAATCCAGATGGTCTGCACTATTTCTCCAAGTGCACACCAGAATCCTCAGACCTGGACATACTTGCCCAGCCCTAACAACCACCAACTCCCCAGACACTCAGGCAACACTCACCGGGGGTCCTACTATGTGAAACTCAACCTGACGGCGTGTGTGCGCGCTCGGGGAGGCGGGTGGAGTAATCTCCAGTCCATTCTAGCCATAAAATCTCACCCCAGCTCTCTCAGGTTCTGGACAACCTCATTCAGGGGATGGATCTGACCTTTAATCAGCATTATGGGACCCGAGCCCTTGAAGAATGGCTTGCGTCCGTGCGACAAGCATAGCGTACGGAAGAGCAGGATGCATGCGGCAAAATTGCGGTCTCAGGGTTCCCCATCGGAGCTCCCCCTCCGCTGGGTCACTTAGTCCGGCCAGGGTCCCCCCATATGGTAGATGCCAGCCCCCGCCCATGCGCATTCACGTGCAGAGGTGGAGGCAGAGGACCTGTGCTGCCGAGCGTTCGCCGGAGGGGTTCTGCGTGAGTTCCTCCACTTACCGCGAGGCCAGACCCTGGGCCCGGGTCCGAGCGGAACCGCCGAAGCAGTCGACCCGCCCGGCTAGCCGAGCCCGCCTGTGCCCTCCTCCGATGTAACATCGCGCGGGTTGTGTGGGCCCAGTGCCTCCTGGGAGTTGTAGTTTGACCACGAGGACTCACTCGCATGGGCTCCTGCTCATATTGCTAGCCCCCACCCCTTCAGATAAGTAATTTGGCTCCCTCTGGTGGTCCCGAATTACCAGTGGCCGGTCATCGATTCTACTTTTTGTTCTACAAAATGAGTTCCCTGGGAGCAAAGTGAAGGAAAAACCCTTAGATGTCTTCAGAATGGATCCGACATGTTTCTTTAAGGTCCCATCCTTCAAGCTCCTAACTAATTCATGGTCTGCCTGGTTCAAACTCCAACTCAGCTCCCTTAACACCCGAGGAAAGTTAGCTAATGTCTCAGGGCTCTAATTATGGAGTTGACGAATGTCATCATATACCTATAAATTCATATACATATAACTGTAGATTATATGAATTTATATATCCAAGCTTCCTAGAACAGTGCTAGGTGTGGAATCAGCACGATCGTTACTATTTCTACCTGCCTGCAAGTTAACATGACTAGGTGACGTTTCTGTCCCACGAGGGAGGTAGAGAGTGTATAAAATAAATAGCCTCTACTCTGAGGAAGAAAACAGGGTGTGAGAAACATGGCCAGGCGAGGAAACGGGGACCGGATAAGGAACAGCCTGAATGACCTGAGGGTATGGCTGGAGCCATATGGAATCCGGGAGAGAGGGGATTCACGGAGTGGCCAATAGCTTTTGACTGTCAGTCAAGCCTGGGTGCTGGGGAGTTAGGAACCACCAAATGATTTTGTTTTTCCTGAAGCCAATTTCAGAACACTCACTATTATAAACAGACTGGCCCAGAACTCTGTCCTCCTGCCTCACCTCAGCCTCAGTTTACCGGTGTCACCACTCGTGGGCTCACTAAGGTTTTAATTATCTGCTCCTGTTTAGAACCCTCTGGCTGTGGTGACAGGAAAATGGACCAGATGACAAAAAGAACGGAGAAGACAATTACAAATCTTTGGGTCTCTTGCTTGACTCCTCCCCCACTCCGATCCTTACCCCCCCCTTTTTTTTTTACAACTTCCTGGCAACATCCTGGTGCAAAACCAGGAGGGCATTCGGCTCTGGCAAACAAGCATAACTTTAGCACATGGAAGAAGTCAGAAAGAAGGGTGACAGCCTTCATCGCAAGCAAAGGACTCTGAGTGCTTCTTGGGCTCTAGGACTCGAGGCTCACGTGGCTGCAGCGTGGATGGGAGACACCCCAGGCGGCAACAGCTGCAGCCAGTAGGCGGAGATGTCTGGCAACCACTTCACCTCATTTAACCTGGCTCTAGACTAAGGCTTGGTCAGAACAGGCTGCAGCTGCCAGCTACCTAGGCTGGGCACACATGTCCTTATCTTTGTAGCTACTCTATAAGATGGGTACTGTTATCATCTTCCTATTACAGATGCAAGAACTGGAACGCAGACAGATTAGAAGATTCGTCTCCCTCTCTTCTCTGTCCTCACCATGTTGCGTTCATTCTACGCCAGTCACACTGGTGGCCTCTTGATGGTTCACCAAACATACTAGGCTCATTCCCCCTCTCACTGGCTATCCTCTCTGCATGGAACACAGTTGCCCTAGATATCCACATAATGTGTTTCCCATCTCCTCCCAGGTTTTACTCAATTTGGGTGAAGCTCACACTGTCCATCCTAATTAAAATTGCAGTTGCTTACACCTCCCTCACTCTGCTTTTTCTTGTCTGTACCATTATCGTCAATTTCTTTGGTTTTGTTTTAGTTTTAGTTTTTCGAGACAGTTTCTCTGTGTAACCCTGGCTGTTCTGGAACTCACTCTGTAGACCAAACTGACCTCGAACTACTGAGATCCACCTGCCTCTACCTCCCAAGTGCTAGGATTAAAGGTGTGTGCCACCATGCCTGGCTATCACCCATTTCTTGTCTTTTCTCACCAATAGCACACAGACACAGTGGAGATTACATGTATCCATAAACTGAAGGCTATATATGACACATTCGTGCCTTTGTGCATGTGGGGAGTATAGAGAATCAAACCCAGGATCTCATACATACTAGGCAAGAGTTCTACCGTTGATCTCCACCTCCAGTCCCCAAATTTATTAATTGCTAGTTCCCTATTTTCAACAATATAAGAAGACAGCATGTAAAATACTTGTTTGACAGGGCTGGAGAGGAGACTCAGCAATTAGGACACCCTGATTGGAATCCCAGCACCCACATGGCAATTAACAACCACCTATAACTTCAGTTACAGGGGATCTGACACCCTTTTTTCATCTCCGAGGGTACTGTATACACACAGTGCATAGATGGATATACATGCAGACAAAATACCCATAAACATAAAGTCAAAACAACAAAAATATGTGTGTGGGCCTTGTTTTATTCCACACCCCTAATCTAATTTTAAACCTAGGGCCCTCTGCTTGCTAGACAAACACTAGCATAGCTACAGCCCCAAACCTCCCCCTTTAAATGTTTTTGTTTTCTCTTTGAGGTGCTGGTGGATTGAACCCAGAGCCTTGCCATGGTCTCTACCCCATATGGCAGAAGAAAAGAACAGACTCCTGCAAATTGATCTGTGATCTTCATGTGCCTTCATGCATGCACCATGGTATGAATAGTATATTTGTACACATACAATATATTTAAAAACTACACATACATACATATACATGCATATGCACATACATACATAGCAGTCTTTCTTGGACTTCGAGCCTCCAAATCATGACATGGAGGGTTATTTATTGTTAATTATGAACACTTGGCCTTAGCTTTAGGCTTGTTTCTCGGTAGCTTTTTTTTTTTTGCTTAAATTAACCCATTCTATTAATCTATGTGCTGTCCTGAGGCTTATCTAAGTACTGTCCATCCTGCTTTCCTTCTTTCTGTGTCTGTCTGGCCCCTGGCTGTCTGGCTCCTCTTTTCTCTCTGCCCACCAGCCCCACCCATCCCTCCTCTGCCTAGCTACTTGCTGTTCAGCTTATTATTAGACCAATCAGGTGCCTTAGGCAGGCAAGGTAAAACAACAACATAAACAAATATTCTATTCCACAACATATATGTATATGTGTGTAAGTGTACATATATATGCATACATATAATCTTGTTCAGACAGGATCATACTATATAACTCAGTATTTATGCTGGCCCCAAGCTTACAATCCTCCTGCTTCAGTCCTCCAAGTACTGGGATTACAGATGCGTGCCACCAACATGACTTCTTTTTTCTTTGAGGCAGAGTTTCTTTGTGTAACAGCCCTGGTTGTCCTGGAACTCACTTTGTAGACCCGGTTGGCCTCACACTCACAAAGATCCACCTGCTTCTATTTCCTGAGTGCTGGGATTAAAGGTGTCCGCCACCACCACCTGGCCCAGAATGACTTCTTTTTTTTTTTTTTTTTTTTTTTTTGGTTTTTCGAGACAGGGTTTCTCTGTGACTTTGGAGGCTGTCCTAGACCTAGCTCTTATAGACCAGGCTGGCCTCGAACTCACAGAGATCCACCTGCCTCTGCCTCCCGAGTGCTGGGATTAAAGGTGTGTGCCACCAACGCCCGGCCAGAATGACTTCTTACTGTATTAACTTATTATTGTTTAATTGCTATCGCTATTTGTGGTTATTTACTGGTTATTGATAGGTCCTCAACCCAAACTGTTGTGAAACCTCTTCCTATGCTGAATAGGGCAGAACTGGCCCAACTGGGTGAGACAGAGAAGGGGCGACACAGGAGGCTGAGAAATACAGTAACTGTGGCTCCCATCTTTTTATTGTTGTCTTGCTTCTAGAGACAGGGTCTCAGTAAATAGCTCTAGCTAACCTGAAGCTTACTCTGTAGACCAGGTTAGACTCAAATTTGATCCTCCTGGCTCTGTTTCCCAAGTCCTGGGATTATAGGCTGTACCATCATGCTCAGCTGTGGCTTCTTTCTCCTACTTATATTACTCTTTCTAACCTAGGGGAAGTCAGCAGTAGATAACAAGAGTTGAGAAACAGGTCTAAATCCTATTTGTCTATATCCATTTCCTCGAGCTGTTACAACAAATTACCACAGGTTTGGTAGTTTGCAACATCACAAATTAATTTTCTTTTTCTTTTAACGTGTAATATGTATGTGTGAATACATGTGTGTGCATGCATGTGTAGGTCAGAGGACAATTTTGTGGAGTCAGTTCTGTCGTTCTACCTGTTACATTTTGGGGTGAAGAGTAAAGAGACAGAAGGGAAAAAGAGACCAGCGTTGGACCACAACATACAGAACTGTTTATTTCAAATATCAAAGAAGAGTCGCTCTCCCACAGGAAAGGAGGTGTGCAAAAGGAGGAGGTCAGTTGGGACCCTTAATGGGGGCAGGTGAAAAGCTTGAGAATGCGGAAGACAAAGAGACTTCAGGGGCTTTGTGCAAAGTTTGCAGTCTCTCTATCCTGGAGCTGCTTGTTCACACAAAGCCCTTTATCTCTAGAAACTGCTTGGCCCCGGCTATCGGGATTCAGGTGATAGTGGGTGACTGAGTTAGGCAATGCTGGTGAGGGAGAAGGGGCTGCTGTGTCAGTGGCACGGGATTTTTAGCAAGCTTAGTTCACTGGTAGGAGTCTTGCAGAGTTTGTTCAAGGTTTTTTTTGTTTTTCAAGACAGGGTTTCTCTGTATTGTTTTGGAGCCTGTCCTGGAACTCTCTCGGTAGACCAGGCTGGCCTCAAACTCACAGAGATCCACCTGCCTCTGCCTCCCAAGTGCTGGGATTAATGGCGTGCACCACCAACGCCTGGCTTTCTTCAAGGTTTATTGTGACCCCACACCATCTTCACATGGGCTCTGGGGATTAAACTCAGGTCGTCGAGTTTGTGCAGCAGGTAAACCTTAATCTGTTGAGCAAACCCATCTAGGTAAATATTTCTAATTGTTCTTTACTTCCGATGTCTGGTAGAGGTGTTACTAGACCAAAATAAAAATATCAATAGCTTTTTGAGTCTGGTGATCCAGCTCTGTGATCCTAGTACTAGACAACTGAAGGCTAGAAAATTGAGTCAAAGGATTGAGAGTGGTTTGCACAATACCACATCACTGAGTACTCTATGGCTTGGCCCCAGAAACCTGACTGGGGCAGTAAGGGAATGAAGAAATAGACACACAGACTCATGATGTGCTGGATTTGCTGTGATGAAGTGCACCTTCTTTACAAAACCTCAAACCTCAGCGAGTCTCAGTAGGAGGTGTCTGGAGGTGGGCAGTCTCAGGCTGTAACAGCTGGTAGGTGGAAGCTGCAGTTGCCAGCTTTTGCCCACGTTGGTCAATTGTTCTCAAACACTCAGACTTGCACATACTCTCAGCGTGTCCACTTGGACCAGAGGAAGACTGTACCGCCTCTCTGAGCCTCACCCAGCACTGAGGAAGCTTCGCCAAATTCCAGTGGGTCTGGGGCTTTGGTCCTTGAGATGGCCATGAGCATGCCAACAATACACACTCACACAGGATTTCATTAAGTCCTTACACACTCATTCAAGGCTTTCTTGGCTCCCCACAGCACAGGATTAACCGATTAGTTAGTTAATTCTGGCCAGATGTGATGACACATGTCTGTAACCCCGCACTCAAGAAGCTGAGGCAGGAGTATTGTGAAGAGTTTTTGTCACCCAGGGCTGTATGGAGACACTGTTCTAGAAACTCTAGGAAGGATAAGCTATTTCTGTTTCCTTGCCAGTCCCTGTTTTTCAAAGCTACTAACATTCATTATTAGCTTAGGACCCCCTCTGTCCCTTCTGTGGCCACTTCCCTCTGACTCTTTCCTGTGCTCTTCCTTTTTGTTATTGGACACACAGTATCCAGGGTAGTATCTCTGCCTTACTTAAAGATTTATTTATTTATCACAGATACTGTGTTCTGCCTACAGGCCAGAAGAGAGTACTAGTTTGAATTGTAGATGGTTGTGAGCCACCATGTGGTTGCTGGAAATTGGACTCAGGACCCCTGGAAGAGCAGTCAGTGTTCTTAGCCTCTGAGCCCCCTTATTTATTTAGTTTTAGAGGCAGAGATTCATGTAGTTTGTGTTGAGGGTAACTTTGAATTCTTTTTTTTCTTCCTTTTTTATATATAATATTTTATTTATTTATTGTGTATACAGTCTTCTGCCTGCATGCCAGCAGAGGGTACCAGATCTCATTCAAGATGGTTGTGAGCCACCATGTGGTTGCCGGGAATTGAACCCAGGACCTCTGGAAGAACAGTCAGTGCTCTTAACTGCTGAGCCATCTCTCCAGCCCAACTTTGAATTCTTGATCTTCCTGCCTTTCTTCCCAAGTTTACCATCATGCCTAGTTTATCCTGTATGTATTTATTTATTTTTACTTGTTTCTCTGTAACTGGAAGTGAGATTTTTTTTTCTTTTGAGACAGGGTTTCTCTGTGACTTTGGAGGCTGTCCTGGAACTTACTCTTGTAGACCAGGCTAGTCTCAAATTCACAGAGATCCACCTGCCTCTGCCTCCCAAGTGCTGGGATTAAAGACGTGTGCTACCACTGCCCGGCTGTAAATGAGATCTTAAGGAGGAAAAGAAAAGATCTTAGCTGGTATAGTGGTGCATCCCTTTAATCTCAGCACTCTGGAGACAGAGGCAGGATGATTTCTATGAGTTCAAGGCCAGGCTGATCTATGTAGAGAGTTCTAGGACAGACAATGCTACATGGACCCCATGTACAAAAATAAAAGGGAGATGGGAAATAGGGAGGGAAACAGAATACATATAATGGGAAAGCAGAAAGGTGCTAGCTTGGGGAAGAAGGGAACTATCTGGGAGGCATGAGAGGGAGTGGGAGAAGCAATAGGGGAATAAACAGAATGAAGTATCAGTATGTATGGACAGAGATGCCACGATCAATCCATTATTCTCTATGCTAATCCTAAAAGGATAATAAAAATCCTATGATATGAAAAATAAAATGAATACTTCTTTTGTTTGTTTTTGAGACAGGATTTCTCTGTTTAACAGTCCTGATTGTTCTAGAACTCATTTTGCAGATCAAGTTGGCCTCAACACAAATAAAATGAAACACCAGGGTGCCCACTTTAATTCTATGCAACATTAATTCCCTCTTTCCATACAGCCTAACGTAGTCACGAGTTCTAAGCATCTTTGGAAACTGATGGAAACCCACCACATTCTCTGAAATAATAGTAGTAGATCTGAAAAGGAGCAGCCAAGGAGGGAGGGCAGCAACCAAGGAAGAAATAGACAGGTACTTGAAAGCAGCAATTAATACCACTTGGAGGTCACAACCATAAGACTCTAAATGTAACCATTGGTCCTGGTCCTACTTGCAACTAGGTGTTAGGGGAATGTTTTGGGGTAGCTAGCTTATTATGTGATAAGGAAGACTGGAAATATAAAATCTTCCCAAAACTTTCAGTAGGGGAGAAAGGTAGAGGGAGCCTGTGAAGGAACTCCATGCAATGGGAAGAATGGGATATCTGTAAAGGTGAAATAATATCAGAAGGAGTGTTGGGTTAATTCAGGCTCAGGTTTTGCCAAGAGGGCACCACAACAGTACCAAGGTCTGGGAAACAGCCAGCAGTGTGGGCAAGATAACGGAATTTATTATGAGAGGAAGGGCGCGCTCCGCCCACAAGGGGCGCTGTTGAGGCGCGTGCGATGACTGGCGGCTACCTGAAAGCTTAAGTTATAGCCCAATGGCATCTGAAATAATTTCAGGGGGAATGCTTCCTGAATCGATCACAGTTAATCTGTAGACATGCCAAATGCATAAAACAGGGCTTGGCATAGAGAACGCGCTAAGCACCGTCACAACTCTAGAGACTCCATTTCCCTTGATGTCTTGCAGCCTCTCCGACTACGATTCCCATCATGCCTGGCAGCTGCAGTACCAAGAATTCCCCACATCCTTTAATCCAGTTCACCAGCTCAGCATTCCTAGCTGTCGTGCCTAAGAACAACCAATTGGATAGGAGAAAGCCTGCAGAGGCGGTCCAACCCTCGGGGTGGAGGGGCGTGGCCACATCAGGCCCGCCCCCGCCCCGTGGCGGGTTCTTCCCCCGTTCCTGGTCTGGACTGCTGACATGGGCATCACCTGGAGGAGCCCGGGACGCTGGCGCCTGGCACTCTGCCTCGCTGGTTTAGCGCTCTCGCTGTACGCACTGCACGTGAAGGCGGCGCGCGCCCGCGACGAGGATTACCGAGCGCTCTGCGACGTGGGCTCGGCCATCAGCTGTTCACGCGTCTTCTCCTCTCGGTGCGTGCAGAAATGGAAAGCATGGGGTCCTGGAAGGCCAGGTGTACCTGGCGGTCAGATTGCCGGATGATTTTGGAGTCTGGGATCGCAGTGTCCGCAAAACGGACACTTTGAGAGCGGACTGCCCCAGGAGTTTTTGGTGGGTAATCAGACGTGCACAGAGGCTGGACCTCTCAGAGATACCGGTGTTTTAACGCTTTCTGAAGATGCCGGCGAATAACTGATTGGAAAACTGGAGGAAGCAAGGCAGACATCAATGGAGATTGAGAATAATTTGGAATGGCACAAAGCAGGAGGAGGTGGTGGAGCATTGCTGTGCTCAGGGACAAAGGTGGCTCACTCTGGCTGTGCTGGAGGACCGGATGTTAGTGGGTGGCGAGGGAACTGTAGGTTTGTAGGTCCAAAGCAAATAGATTGTGCTCCAGATGCCCCAGTGTGGTCACCATAAAGCACGATCAAGCTGAAAGAATTTTTTAAAAATTTTGTTTGAGTTTGTGGGGTGGCATATGCATGCCACTATATACTGGAAATCGGAGGTGGTTCCTTCCTACTTTGTGACTCTTGGGGATTCAACCCAGTTGACAGGCTTGGCAGCAGGCACTTTTATTTGCTGAGCCATTTCAGCAGCTCTTGAAGTTACTGCTGGTTTGTGATGACAAGCCAGGATAGAGTCAGTGACATGCCAGAAGGTCACTGACCTTTGAATTCGTGGTGTGTGGAGAGTCTTGCTAATTGCTTTTCCAGGATAAAGCCCAAGAGGCACTAGGCTGACCACACTTACCAGGGTTCTTTCGTTCCCACAGGTGGGGCAAGGGCTTAGGACTGGTGGAACATGTGCTAGGACCTGACAGCGTCCTCAACCAATCCAACAGCATATTTGGTTGCATCTTCTACACCATACAGCTGTTGTTAGGTGAGTGGCTTTGTCCCTTCATGACCTGTCTTCCCTCATCAGCCCCCCCCATGCGTTGGTGACCCAGACGGTTGACAGCCAGCTGCTAACCACTGAGCAACCTGGTCACAAGGAGACAAGAAAGGAGGACACTAGCAGGAGTATCCTAGTTAGTTTAAGAAGCCAGAGGCTGGGCCGGGTGTTGGTGGCGCACGCCTTTAATCCCAGCACTCGGGAGGCAGAGGCAGGCGGATCTCTGTGAGTTCGAGGCCAGCCTGGTCTACAGAGCGAGTTCCAGGACAGCCTCCAAGAAAATACAGAGAAACCCTGTCTCGAAAAACCAAAAAAAAAAAAAAAAAAAAAAAAAGCCAGAGGCTGAAAGGTCTCCCCCCCACACACAAGATTTCCTACCATCTCAATTCTTTTTTCTTTTTATTTGGTTTTGTGTTTTGGTTTGGCTTGGTTTGGTTTTTCTGTAGTTTTGCAACCTGTCCTGGAATTCACTCTGTAAACCAGGCTGCCTGGAACTCACAGAGAGCTGCCTGTCTCTGCCTCCCTAGTGCGGGAATTAAAGGCGTGCGCTACCACCACCCAGCTTGGGTTTTGTTTTGTTTTGTTTTTTGAGACAGGGTTTCTCTGTGAAACAGTCCTAGCCATCCTAAAACTCACTCTGTAGACCAGGCTGGCCTCGAACTCACAGAGATCTGCCTGCCTGCCTCTGCCTTCCTGAGTGCTGGTACTCGACCACACCTAAGTTGTTTTTGTTTTTTGGGTTTTGTTTTGTTTGAAACAAGGTCTCATGCATTCCAGGTTCACCTTGGACCGCCAAGCCTCCTGCCCCCATCTGCCAAGTGCTGAGATTATAGGCATATGTCAATACATCCAGTTGAAAAATGCTTTTTGAGGGGACTCCAAAGGTGACTTGTGTTTCACCGAATACCGAGTTTAGCAGGAGTACTTACTGTTTGGGTCCCAAGGATTACTGAGCAGATAAGGCCCATCAGCTCCGGTCTTAAGAGACCTTTCACTAGATGCATGTGCCATTTGTCTGTCACTGGGGAGGCATGGCAGAGTTCTAGATGGACCATTACAGATCCTCTCTTGTTTTACAGGTTGCTTGAGGGGACGCTGGGCCTTTCTCCTGCTGGTACTGAGTTCCCTGGTGTCCTTCGCTGGTTCTGTCTACCTGGCCTGGATCCTGTTCTTTGTGCTCTATGATTTCTGTATTGTTTGCATTACCACCTATGTCATCAATGTGGGCTTGATGTTGCTTAATTTCCAGGATGTGCCAGAACACAAGGCCAAAAGGCACTGAGGTCCCTCCTCATGCTAGGCTAATGTAACCTGTTTTACCTTGGCACATGAGCCTTGCCCAAGAAGGCCCTATTCCCTTCATTCCAACCCCCTCCATAACCACACACAGGACAATGACCAGATGTGCCTCTAAGTTCTGTTCCCAAGGGCTGCTTTCTGCTCTTGACTAAAGACAATGGTTTTGAACAATAAATTTTCCTAAGTTGGTCAAGTGTGAAGTGTATGTCCGCCAGAGACCCTTTGGGGTGTTGTCTTTCTCTGTTACTGCCTTCTCTGGAACTGGGAGGAGTCAGAACGGAGGACCTGTCCGGGAGGGGTGACTGCATCATCTCCAGCACATGTAGTCAGCAAAATCTGACACATCGGCCCCCACATCCAGGAAGCAAGCTTGCACCTACTGCCTACAGATCAGACCTCCTGTTGTAGGAGGGCCTGCCACATACCTGGAGGGCAAGCTTGCTTGGAACTTCTTTAAAATGTACTTGTTTTTATGTTATGTGCACTGGAGTTTTGCCTGCCTATATGTCTGCGTGAGGATGCTGGCTCCCCTGGAACTAGAGTTCTAGGCAATTGTAAGCTGCCATGTGGGTGCTGGGAGGGCAGCCAGTGCTTTTTTTTTTTTTTTTTTTTTTTTTTTTGGTTTTTTGAGACAGGGTTTCTCTGTATTGTCTTGGAGGCTGTCCTGGAACTCACTTTGTAGACCAGGCTGGCCTCGAACTCACAGAGATCCACCTCCCTCTGCCTTCGGAGTGCTGGGATTAAAGGCGTGCGCCACCAATGCCCGGCTCAGCCAGTGCTCTTAACCACTGAGCCATCTCTCCAACCCTACTTGGAACGTCTTCTATAGTTCAACTTGAACCTCTGCAACTAACTCACTTATCATCCCATGCCAGTCTTAACACTTGCACAGGGCCAGGCTAAGATTCTATTTCTGTTTTTCCTAATGTATACTAAGGATTTGGCAACCCGTGATAGTTAATTTAATCCTCAATTGTAGGAGATAGTCACTACCATTGTATATTAGTGAGGCAGCTTAGGTAGAGAAGCTACTGTGCCCGAGGCGACATGTCTAGTACTGGGAAAGAATTGGGGAGGGAAATCTCAGACTAACATCCCACAATTCCCATTGTAGGACTTTGCACATGCTGGCCAAGTGTTCTCCCACTGAGCTGTGCTCTTGCCTGTCTCAGAATCTGAGCTACTTGGCTCCCATCCACTCTAAACTCCACTCATAGTTGCCTCTGTATTGGGGTCAGGGTTCCTGAATGGTGGAGCTAGCCTAAGTAAGGAGTTGGAAGGTTCTAACCTCCATCCCAGCATTTGCAATAAAGGAGAACAACGCTTTGCTGACAAGGCAGCAGGCCCAGAGAGAGGTTGGCATAAGACCCACCCCTTAACACAGCCCTGCACGTGTTCTCTGAAGCAAACCTAGAGAGGTGTATGAAACAGGCCTGGCTATGCCGAGGGAGACAGGGAAGCTGAAAGGGGATCTACGGAGTCTGCCACTGCTCCGCAGGTGATGTTTTCATGCAAGTAGCTGCACTAGCAGTCAGGAGCCAGCATGTTGAGATTGGTTGATTGTTTTTTTCTTTTTTTGATTTTACGAGACAAGTTTTCTCTGTGTTGTTTTGGAGGCTGTCGGTCCAGCCCAGCCTCGAACTCACAGAAATCCACCTGCCTCTGCCTCCCGAGTGCTGGGATTAAAGGCGTGCGCCACCACTGCCCAGCATTTTTTTTTTTTTGAGATTGGTTGATTGTTTTTTTTTTTTTTTTTGGTTTTTTCGAGACAGGGTTTCTCTGTGGCTTTGGAGGCTGTCCTGGAACTCACTCTGTAGACCAGGCTGGCCTCGAACTCACAGAGATCCGCCTGCCTCTGCCTCCCGAGTGCTGGGATTAAAGGCGTGCGCCACCAACGCCCGGCTGGTTGATTGGTTTTTTTTGTTTTTTTGTTTTTTTTTTTTTGGTTTTTCGAGACAGCGTTTCTATGTGGCTTTGGAGGCTGTCCTGGAACTCACTCGGTAGTCCAGGCTGGTCTCGAACTCACAGGGTGAGTTACAACTGCCTCCCGAGTGCTGGGATTAAAGGCGTGCGCCACCAACGCCCGGCTGGTTGATTGGTTTTTGAGACAGGGTCTTACTCTATAGTCCAGGCTGTCCCTGAACTTGGTAGGTAGATCAGGCTAACCTTAAACTCAAAATTCTGTCTCAGCCTCCAGGTACCAGGATTACAGATGTACACCACTATGCTGGACTTTTAAGAATTAAAACAAACTGGGATCTCTGTGAGTTCGAGGCCAGGCTGGACCAACAGCCTCCAAAACAATACAGAGAAACCCTGTCTCGTAAAACCAAAAAAAAAAAAAAAAAAAAAAAAGGCAGAGGCAGGTGGATCTGAGTTCAAGGCCAGCCTGGTTACAGAGCAAGTTCCAGGACAGCCTCCAAAACAATACAGAGAAACCCTGTCTTGAAAAACAAACAAACAAAAAAAGAATTGTAAAGTAACTTTATGTGTATGAGTAATTGCCTGCATGTGTGTCTGCACTACATATGTGCCTGGTGCATGGAGAGGGGAGAAGAGAGTGTTGGAGCCCCTGGAACTGGAGTTACAGGGGGTTGTCAGCTGCTGTGTGAATTTGGAAATCTGAACCCAGGTCCTCCAGAAAGAGCAGCCAGTGAAGAAACCAATGAGCCAACTCTCCAGACCCCTAAGCATTTAAAAAAATATTGTTGGTTAAGAGATAGAGTGTGTGTATGTAAATGCATGTTGAATGTCATGATGTGTGTAGAGTTCAGTTTACAGGAACCCTTTCTCTACCATGTGGGTCCCAGGAGTCAGATTGGGTCATTAGGCTTGATGGCAGGTGTCGTATATTTTTGGTTGTGAGCCTGGCCTTTAATGGCTGAGCTATCCCTCCAGCCCTGTGGCAAGTGTCTTTGTGCTAGCCCCCTAACTATTTCTTGTCTATCGGCCTGGTGAAATAGATCACCAGGTAAAGGTAACTAGATGTGAGTTCAAACACTGGGATCCACACAGAGGGAGAAAACTCTCACAGGTTTCCCTCTCTCTGGAATAAATAAATTGATAAAACAATAATAAAAGGTCAGGTGTTGGTGGTGCATGCCTTTAATCCCAGCACTCGGGAGGCAGAGGCAGGTGGATCTCTGTGAGTTCGAGGCCACCCTGGTCTACAGAGCGAGTCCCAGGATAGGCTCCAAAGCTACACAAAGAAACTGTCTCGAAAAAAATAAAATAATAAAAGACATTTCTTCCAGTCCACTTGATGGAACAAATTTAATTTTTTTGTTGTTTTTTTTCAAGACTGGAGCTCACTTTGTAAATTTTTTACTATTATTCTGTGCATATGAGTATTTGCCTGCATGTATGTCTGCACACCACACATGTGCCTGGTGACTTGGAAGGACAGAAGAGGGTGTCAGATGCCCTGGAACTGGAGTTACATGGGACTGCCCCAGAGTCTGGGAATCCAACCAGCTGTTAACTGTTGAGCCATCTCCACTCCCCAAAGCACTTGAGTCTTTCAGGCAAGGCACAAACAACTTCATCGTTCAAAGTCACCAGTGCAGTAAATGGGGAAACTGGGATTTGAACTGGGGGATTGTGGCTGGTGGCAGAAGCTCATTGAGGGGTAAGGATCACACAAGCTGCTGGCTCCCTTCTAGCCCAGGAAAAGTAACCCTGACTCTTAGATGACTGTGGGCGGAGCAGGGGTGGAGCTAGGGAGACCCAGGTAGCCTCTCTGAGAACAGGAACACTGAGAGGCCTGAAGCAGCATGAGGCAGAGCTGGGGACCGGGGCTGCTTATTGTGGGAGCTGTGGTCCTGACAGAGGGTAAGTCACTCAAGTGGACTCCAGTTTGCTATGTAAGATCTGAGGGGCTATAGTCTCCTTGTGGGTGTTCTTGCCTAAGCGTGGTGTGTGTGTGTGTGTGTGGGGGGGTGTTGTGGGAGTGAGGGGAGGTAACACAGCCTGCTGTTACAGCACCTTGGAAGAACCTGTGTCAATACATTCATCCTTACAGTAGTTCTTTGAGGTAGATACTCTGAAATAGGTTCCTATCTTGGTGAGGAGACTCAAGTACAGAAAAGCTAAATGACGTGCCTGAGACCAGCCTGTCCCGGGTTAGGAAGGGATGAGCTGAGAGGACTGTGTACGTAGGTGGCAATCTCACCTGCGTGTATTTTGCCCCATCTAATCCTCTATTTGCAGAGTGACCTCAGGCATGCTCTGGCCCCACTGGCTTGGAGCTGTCCTTTGCTTCAGAGGTGCAGTAGGCCTATTTGTGTGAGCCCGATGGGTTACAGGCAGGGCAGGGACCCTCTGAAGAGTCAGCCTCTGGAAAGGTAGTTTGATTCATGAGCACAGGGGTGGAGTGAGTCTCACTTGGGGCCTCCTCCACTTTGGACATGACACAGGCCTCTAATCTACCCTCTTAGGCTTCCACAGCTGAAGGGACAATTAAGCTAATGTCCTTCCCATCCACAGGCCACCTCCCTGACTCAGTGGTGGGGGCAGGAGTTAGGGGTTCAGAAGCCTGAGGGGTTGGCCTGCTCCCAAGGTAAATCTCAGGCCTTGCTTTTTGGGCCCAGGAGTGCTGAGCACAGCTGAGAGAATTAATGGCTGCGTACTCTGAATGGGCTCCAATAAAAGCTGCTTTTCAGCCTCATATAAATATTTTCATTCTGGGAGGGGCCGGTTAAGGTAACCAGTCATAGATAAGGGCCTCGGGCCTGTTGTCACCTCATGCCCTCCACTGAGCCTAGGCCTCAACATCTTGTGTCTTTTCCTTCCTAGGTCTTCAAGCAGCTCAGCGTGGTAAGCGGTGGGGACAAGGGACCTGGGCTGTACTCATGATGGAGGGTGAATGGTATTGTGTGGTCCTGAAGTCAGGACAGTGTCTGCAGTTAGCATGACTCACTCTTCTCTACAGCATGTGGGCAGCGTGGCCCTGGCCCTCCAGAGCCCCAGGAAGGCAACACGTTACCAGGCGAATGGCCGTGGCAGGCCAGTGTGAGGCGACACGGGGTACACATCTGCAGTGGCTCCTTGGTGGCAGACGCCTGGGTCCTCACAGCTGCTCACTGCTTTGAGAAGTGAGTTATGCTCTGTTTGTCTTTCACTTTGAGGGTGTTTGTCCCTGTACCTCCCTCACAAGACTGTTTCTCACCTCTAGTATAATTATCATTTATGGAGAATGCTGTGTAGCTGACACGTTACCAGCTTAACTTTAGCAATCTCTCATGGTAGATGCTTCCTTTACAAAGGAGTAAATGGGCTGGGCGCTGGTGTCTCACACCTTTAATCCTAGCACTTGGGAGGCAGAGGCAGGCAGGTCTCTGTGAGTTTGAGGCCAGCCTGGTCTGCAGAGCTACACAGAGAAATCCATCTCAGAAAAAAAGGTCCCCAGAGGAATAAATGGCAACAGAGGAGGGGCCTGTGCTGAGCTGCCTGTGCTGTTCACCAAGTTGCCATGTTCCCATTGGCACTCAGCTGCCTGGGCCTTGCACTTCTCCTTCCAGGGTGGCCACAACAGAACTGAGCTCCTGGTCTGTGGTCCTGGGATCTCTGAAGCAAGAGGGTCTGAGCCCTGGGGCTGAGGTGGTGGGAGTTGCTGCCCTGCAGGTGCCCAAGGCCTATAATCACTATAGCCAGGGGTCAGACCTGGCCCTGCTCCAGCTCACCCACCCCACAGCCCATACAACCCTCTGCTTGCCCCAATCCACCCATCACTTCCCCTTTGGAGCTTCTTGCTGGGCCACTGGCTGGGACCAGAACACCAGCGATGGTAAGTATTGTCCTAGACAGAAGCCTACAGAGGCACTCTGCTTGCCCAAGGTCCCATTGCTTCCCAGAGCTAGTCTCAGTTTTATTCCCTTTGGCAGTTTCCAGGACCCTCCGGAACCTGCGCCTTCGCCTCATCAGCCGCCCCACCTGTAACTGTCTCTACAATCGGTTGCACCAGCGGCTGCTGGCCAGCCCAGCGAGACCTGGAATGTTGTGTGGGGGTGCGCAGCCTGGAGTACAGGGACCATGCCAGGTCTGATGAGTACAGGGGGAAAGGGAGGGCCTAATCTTGGGCTAAGGGCTCACAGAGAAGGGTGACAGGTACAGTCACAGGGCATCTATCTGGTCAGTGTTGGGACTCAGGTGACTCCTTTCCCTGGCTTCAGGGGGATTCTGGGGGACCTGTGATGTGCCGTGAGCCTGATGGACACTGGGTCCAGGTTGGGATCATTAGCTTCACATCAAAATGTGCCCAAGAAGACACTCCTGTGCTGCTGACTGACATGACTACTCACAGTTCGTGGCTGCAGGCCCACGTTCATGGGGCAGCTTTCTTGGTACAGGACCCAGGAACTGTGGAGAGCAGTGATGAGAACAGCTGTGTAGGTAGGTCTGTGCCTGGGTATTGGAAGTGGGATGTATGGGGACACCCAGGACACATGAAGGCTTCCTGAGTAGTGGGTAGGAGCCACAGGAAGCAAACCAGCTCAGACACTGAATCTAGACACTGCCAACAGAGAACTAGGTTTGTTAAGGCCCCTTTTAGCTTCTGGGATAGAAACAGCCCTCTGGGGCCAGGAAGCTTTTCAGACTTGGGCATGAGTGTCTCTGAAATCTGATTGGTTTCAGGGGGAAAGCTGAGTTTCCAGGCAGAAATCCAGGGAGATGAGACAGGGCACTGACTGCAATGCAAATTGCATGCAAAGTCATTCCGGGGAAGGAAGCTAGGTTCTGATGTTCAGGACAGCACGAGCAAGCTAGCAATTTTAGGGCTGGTCCAGGCTTGGGGAAATGCCGGTGGGTGGGGGAGTGGGGTAGAGACCTTCCAAGCAGGGCTGGCATGGATTACTGTCAGACATCAGCATACACATTGGCTCTGAATCCAAGTGGGCTACCTGGTTTTGGTTACAGAGCTAGGTTAATCTATAGGCTATAGCTTGATTACCTTTGGCAAGGAGGCTGAGTCAGGTGAGAGGAGGGTACCGGGAAGACCTGCTGACTACAGAAGCACTCAGCACACGCCCTAGCACTAAATGACCATTTAACAAACTATTTCAGCATGTGGCTCCTTAAGGAGTGGAGGCCCCCAGGCAGGAGCCCTCTCTCAGTGGCCCTGGGACGCCAGGCTAAAGCATCATGGGAAGCTGACTTGTGGTGGAGCCCTGGTATCAGAAGTGGTGGTGCTGACTGCTGCTCACTGCTTCATCGGGTGAGCCTTACGTCTCTCTCCTTTGTGCCCCTTGCCCAAGCTCTGTCACTCAGTGCTGTCAACTCTACTTCTCAACAGTCGCCAAGCCCTAGAGGAGTGGAGTGTGGATCTGGGAGCTGGGCCAGAGGAACGGGGCCTGAAACAACTCATTCTGCATGGAGCCTACACCCACCCAGAGGGTGGCTATGATGTGGCCCTCCTGCTGCTGGCTCAGCCTGTGACATTAGGCCCTGGCCTGAGACCCCTTTGCTTGCCCTACGCTGACCACCACCTGCCTGATGGTGAACGTGGCTGGGTTCTCGGGCTGACTCAAGGAGCAGGTACATAGTAACAGAGACCCTGGCAGTTGTCCATTGGACTTGCAGGCAACTGAGGCACCTAGCCTCATCCTTTGCTTTCATAGGCAACAGCTACCCTCAGACAGTACCTGTGACAGTCCTGGGTCAAATAGCCTGCAGCCGACAGCATGCAGCCCCTGGGAGCACAGGCATTCCCATTCTGCCAGGGATGGTATGCACCACTGTTGTGGGTGAGCTGCCTCAATGTGAGGTGAGTTCCAATTCCCAACCCTTACCCAGCAGACCCCTGGCATTCTCACGCCTTTCTACCAAGCTTGGCTGCTAGCCCTGCTTTCTCACCTGAATCTAAGCCCTGCTAGCAGCTGCCCCCAAACACTCAGCCTGCAGCCCCCAAGCTCCTCCCACCTGCTGCAGGAAGTTACCAGTGTAACCTGCTCTCTAACAGGGCCTATCTGGAGCACCACTCATCCATGAGGTCAGGGGCACATGGTTCCTGGCTGGACTGCACAGCTTTGGAGACACCTGCCAAGGTCCTGCAAGGCCTGCAGTCTTCGCAGCACTCTCTGCCTATGAGGACTGGGTCAGCAATCTAGACTGGCAGGTCTATTTCGCTGAGCAGCCAGAACCCGAGGCTGAGCCTGGAAGCTGCCTGGTCAACTCAAGTATGTGTCACTATTCACTCGTCCTCTGCAGCCCTGGCTCCCATCTAGGGAAAACACTATGGTGACTCATCTCTAGTGCCCGGGGTGTGGGGTACAGCAACAGACAGACCCACATGGACTTTAGGCAGCAGGGGTCTCAGCTTCTTGGTCTTCAGGTCTCCCACATACCACAGGGGCCAGGATGGATCCTGCTTCTTCAAGGGAACTAAGAAAGCTATAGGGATGGGGCCAAATTAACCTCCCTCCTCTCCTTGACAGGCCAGCCAGTCAGTTGTTGACTGGTGACTCTAGTTTACTCACAAGACGCCAGAAAAGCCAGGCAACTCCCACATCAACACCCAATTCTACGCTCCTGCCCTTCCCTATCCTGTCCTGTGGTTCTCAGCCCCGAGGCAGGTTCAACAACTGTCTGGATGGGAATGAGCCTGCAAGGGGAGGCTTTCTATGAGAGGCCATGACCCCAATCCCAAGCTCAGCTTTCCAACAGAGACGTCTCCAGCATTCCCTAAACAACCCTTCAGATACAACCACACCAACAGCTGTTGTGGAAAAAAAAGTGGGTTTTTTTGGTGGGGGGAGTGGGAAGCAATTTTCCTTTTAAAACTTAAATAAATTGTTACAAAATAGATTTTAGAAAATAAGTTACAAACTATAGTAAAAGGCTCCCCTTCCACAGGCAACCTTCCCACCTGTGGTGCACTCTGAATATGCCTCTCCCTGGGTTAGAATCAGCCTATCCCAGCACTGTGGCAGAGCCTGGCCCTGGAAGAATACGGTGACAAAGGCTTGGGAAGGAGATCCTTCATGGATAGACACGAAGACTACCTCACGCCCTTCTTGAGAAAGAAACCAGATCAGGGTCCTCTTCATGGGAAGAGATGAGGATGCCCAAGCAACTCCTGAGCGAACTGTGGAGATGAAGCCTCTCTCTCTCTCCTGCCTGCCTGCATCCCCAGCTTCAGTGAACTGTTCTTTGGAGACCTGAAGTTCAGAGGGAGAAGTTGAGGTCTGCAGGCCACTGGGGTGAGGGGTCCAGGTGTGAGGCTGTAGATGAGTCCCCTCTGCTTGTTACTGGTGCCGTTGAAGCTCCTAGGGAGAGAAGGAACAGTGGTCACTGAGGGAGGCCTAAACCACCACTCCAGACCTACAGGTCACTCCCCGACATGGCCCTGAGAGACGGCGAAGTGCAAGTGGCCAGGACACACAGCTCACTGTTCTTGTGTTCACCTACCATGTATAAGGCTAAGTACCAGGCCCGGTATCTCCCCCTCAAAAAGACCAAGCCCAGGAATCCTAGAACCCCTAATTTATAGTCTTGGCTAATAGGCTCCTCACTCATTTTACTTGAAGACAAACCCCTTGTCCTGACAGTCGTTTCTTTAGTTCTCAGGAACCATCGCCACTATCTTTGCCAAGATCTGGTCAATGGCATACTATTTCAGGGACACCTTCCCTTGGTGGCTGTAGATTTTCCTCCCTAGATGTGGAATATGAGCTTAAGGCTTGCTGACTACACAGACTGTCCCATGCCTCCACGGCCTTGCCCTTCAATGGGCTGGGGTGGAGACCAGTTTACCCCAAGATTCACTGTGAGGAGGGTGACAGATTGACTAATGAGTGCTGCTGCCCGACTGGGCCTGTCTTCAAAGAAACAATTATCCATGAGTCAGTCCTTCAGTTAAAGGGCGGAGAGGGCAGTCTGATCAGTTCCCGCAGGGTCTGCAGCAGAAGAAAAGGTTAACCAAAAGGAAGAACGAAACGGTGCGGTGCAGCACTCCCAGAAAGGCCCAGAAAGAAAGGCAGGACAGGAGAGCGCTCACTAGTGGCCAGCAAACTGGCCAAGTCAGCAGTGATGCAGTCAGTTAGGATTCACCAGCTGAGCAGGCAGACCCACCTCTGCCTCAGCCCTGCAGGCTCTTCCCTATCTACCCCCATGACAGTCCAGGATCTGCAAGCCTCCACCACCCCTCACTCATTCTCTGACTTCTTGCCTACTCTAGGAAAGACCAGAACCCAACAAAGCCCGTTTTGTCTTTTTCCTATGCAAGTCATTACTGGCTAAACCAAGATTCCCAGATGTGGTAGTTCCCAGATATATCTGTCCACTGAAAGAAAAAGCACTGCCCCACCCACCATAGTGTCCATCTTTCTGACCCAGGATTCACACTTCAGTGGCTCAAAACCATTTCAAATGAGTTAGTCCATGTCTAGGCCTCCTGCCACCCAGAAACCCACTGCCCCTGTTCTTCTTGCTTCCCTTACTCCCCCAGGGGCACAGGGATTTTCTACTGTGTGCCTCCCTCTTCCTGGGTCCTCTACCCAACCCACTCACCTCACATACCTGAGCTAGACATGGTCCACTCCTCCTGGTGCTGCTGCTGGTGCTGCAGGAAGCTCATTTGGTGACGAAAATGGCGGGGACAATGAGAACAGGTGAACGGTCCCTCCTGGGGGGCATGGACACGTCCATGGCCCTGTAGCCGGGCAGCTGTTCGGAAAGCCTTGCCACAGATGTTGCAGCTGTAGCGCTTGGGGTCTGTGTGGGTCCTGCTGTGGTTCTTGAGAGACAGTAGGTTGGGCAGAAGTTTGGGACACAGGGAGCAGGGGTAGAGTCCAGTGGTATGAGCCTTCTGGTGGTTCAGCAGGCTTCCAGCATGGCGGTAAGAGCGCCCACACTGAGCACAGCAAAAGGGACGTTCCTTGTCTTCAGCTGCTGTCAAATTTGTTCCTTGTCCTCCATTAGCTGGCTCCCCATTCTCTTCTGGGTCTCTAGGAGGTTCGGATGGGGCCTCCTGAGCTGTCCCTGGACCAGGGGGATTCACCTCTACCATGCCAGCTTGTGGATCTCTGGTCTCCTCTGTCTGACTTGGCGCCTGATTATGGTCAACAGCATGAGTCTGCATGTGTGTGGCCAGCTCACTGTGGGACTCAAACACTTTGCTACAGTTACTACAAGCAAAGATCTGGGCAGCAGTGTGGTTATTGATCGTGGTGGTCACAGTACTCAACAGCTCTTTGGAACAGTGCAAACAACTGTGACAGTCTCTCTTGTTAATGCCGGGATTCAAGAGGCCGTCAGGTTGGCAGTAGGTCTTTCCACACTGACTACAGCAATAAGGGCTGCTCTGTGGTTGGAGCTGAGAGCTGCTGTTTCCACCATCCCAGCTATCCATATAACTTGCAGAAGGACCATTGGACTGGCTCTCAGAGAGATGAAAAGGATTCCTGGACACAGTGTCTTCCAACTTGCCTTCTGGCTTGGTCAACTTATCCTGAAGACCCCAGGCACCATTGTGATTCATTTGTCCCCTGTCTCCTTGACACCCATCTACCTTCCCCACTTCCCAAGATAAAAATTCTGTGACTTCTGGACCTGCTGCTGGTCTGCTGGGACTCTGCATGTGCTCCCCAGGCCTCTCGGTTCCATGCTCCAGCTGCAGTACCGACTGAATCCCTTCTGACCTGCCCTCGACTCCCCAGTCATCAGCAAGGTCTTCCTTACTGCCTTCGGTACCATGTGGGCCTCCCTGGCTACTGGCCAGCTCTAGTTTGCTCTCCTCATGCTCCTGCAGATGCCGCTCCAGAGATCCCTGGCCAGGAAAGCCACAGCCACAAAGGGTACAGCGTACAGCTGCTGCCCTCCGGGGTGCCCGCCGCCGCCGGCTATCAGAATGCAGCCTCTGGTGGTCTTTCAGGGCTGTGCGGCTAGAATAGGTCTTAAAACAGAAGGGGCAGCTGTACTGGCCTGTCTCAAGGATGCACCGATGGCTCAGGAGGCCGCCAGCATGGCGGTAGTTCCGGCCACATTGCCCACACCTGAAAGGCTGATCCTCACGAGCAAGCTTCTGGGTGCCCTTACCCCTCCGTCGCTCAGTATGGACCCGCTGGTGGTTGGCCAGCTGCTTCCGCAGGCGAAAGGCTTTCCCACATTCACTACAGCGGAAACGGCGAGGGTCTGCGTGGATGCGCCGGTGGTTCTTAAGGGACATGAGGTTTGAAAAGCCCTTGGAGCAGGCCTGGCAGCCAAAGTGGCCAGTCTGGTGGCTCTGCCGGTGATTGATGAGGCTGCCGGCATGCTTGTAGGTACGGCCGCATACTTCACAGCTAAAGGGCCGCTCAGAGCTGACTTCAGTCTGACAGCCTTTCTCTGCTGTCTCCAACCTCTGCTCCAGTTCCTCCTCCTTTACAGTGGTCTCCTCCCACACTTCTTCTTTCACCCTTGCCGGCTCCTCCAACGGCTCCACTTTAAGTTCTTCTTGGAGCTGCCCCATTAATGCCTGTTCCTGCCCTGCCTCTGCCACATTCTGGGGTTCGCTGCTGCCTCCTGCCTCTGAGATAGGACCTACTTGGGGTTCTGAACCTTTGCAGCGAGGGTGGTTCCGCAGATGATTCCGGTAGGCAGCCAGGTTGGGGTAGCAGCGAGAACAGACAGGGCAGATGAAGTCACCTGTCTGATGGATCTTCCGGTGGTTAACCAGGCTGCCTCCATGTCGATAGGTCTTGCCACACTGGTTACATCGGAAAGGGCGGGGGTGGGACTCAGGAAAGCTTTCACCAGCCTGCATGCAAAGGCCGTCTGCAACTGTGCCATCTACTCCCTCCTCAGACTGAGTGTCCTTACCCTCTTCTGAGACAGAAGTCACTGTGCCCTCAAAGACATGATCCGTAACTATTTCTATCGAATCAACTGATCCTTCCAAGTGGCTAAGAACAGTCTCTGTCGTATTGCTGGAACTTTGACTTTGGTGATGCCGCTCTAGGCTCCCCAGGTCATCATAGGTCTGACCACAGCAACCACAAATGTGCCCATACCCTGCTCCATCGAGAGCTTCCACCTCCCGCTGGAGCTGATTCAGCAGCTCTGCCTCTGAGAGCTGTAGGGGAGGACTGTGGGTAGAGGCCGCTTCTGCTGTGCCCTCGTCCTCCTCCTCCTCCGAGCCCTCAGGTATGCCAGCAGTGCCGTGAGCCTGGCGCAGGTGATGCCTGTAGCCAGTCCTTCCAGGGAAGATCATACCACACAGACAACAGAGGAAGGGCTGTGCGGAGGCTGCCTCCCCTGGCCTGTGGTTCTGGAAGTGACTACGCAGGGCAGGCAGAGAATCAAATTCCTTTGGACAGAGAGAGCACTGATAGATGCCTGGAGGGTGGCAGGGTTTATGGCTCAACAGGCCGGCAGCATGGGGGAAAGACTCCCCACAATCAGAACATGTGTGAGTGACTTCGGCCTTCCAGACAGTGTTAGTGTCAGCAGGGTGGGAGGAGTCGGACTGGCAAATGTCTGGCTTCTGGTCACTACCCACCTCAGCGAGGCTGTCACAGAAGCCAGCTTTACTGCTTTCCTCATCACCTGGGATGTCCAAGTGATCAAGGAAACAGGACTCTTTTTTTTCTAGTCCTTCCTCAGTGCCAGGGTCTTCTTTATCACCCAGGAAACAGGCTTCACCCCTTCCAAGCCCATATTCGCTGGCTTTAGATCCCGCCTGCAAACAGCCCCCATCCCTTTCCAGGCTGTCTTCAGCCCCACAAGGACTTTCTCTCAAAGGGTCTTGGGAAGAATCTAGGTCTTCATCATTCTCCATCTTCTGGGTCCAGGCACCCGTAGGTGCAAGTTCGGACTCTTCTGCACCAGTGCTGTCTTGTTTCTGATGCCTCCTGCGCCACTGCCGACTGTGCCGTCGTAAATGACTCTTCATGGCAGCCATGGTATGGAAATGCTTGGCACAGGTCCCACAGCTAAAGTCTCCAGTCTGGTGGGTCTGCCTGTGGTTGATAAGGCTGCCTGAGTGGCGATAGCTCTTTCCACAGTCTCGACAAGCAAATGCTCTAGGTGGTGACACGGTGCTGTCTGTCCTGTTCTTTTCTCCTTCCCCTGCCTTGTGTGTCATGCCATGATGTTCAAGACTCTTGAGATCTTCAAAGAGCATCCCACAAATGTTACATATCTGTTGTGTTGTCTTATCTACTGTGGCCTCTTCTTCATGTTTGTATACTTGCCCCTGATCTGTGTGGAATGTTGCTTCTGTTCCCACTGGGTCAGGTTGTTCCTTCTTGACAGGGCTAGGTGAACCCTCCGTCCCTGGGTCTGTATTTCGGCGTGTAGCCTTGCAATGTACACGCACATGGTTGCGCAGAGCCATAAGGTTGGGGTATTTTCGAGGACAGAGCGAACACTGGTATTCTCCTGTCCGATGGCTGTGGCGGTGGTTCACCAGGCTCCCCCTGTGGCGGTAAGCCCGACCACACTCATTGCACTTATAGGGACGATGGTCCAGGTTGCTCGAGGGGACCTCTTCCTCTTTTTGGGCAGTCTCAGCCAACATAGGGGCAGTTGAGGGCACTTCTTCCCCGGCCCCTTGACGGGGTCTGTGATGAGCACGAACATGGTTTTTCAGAGCAGCTGCATTGAACAGCTGCTTGGAGCAAACTGAACAGGTATAGACACCTGTTTGGTGGCTCTTTCGATGGTTGATGAGACTACCTGCATGACGGTAAGTACGGCCACAGTCCCCGCAACAGAAAGGTCGATACTCCTCTGGGCTACCATCCTCTAGCTGCCCAGAAGTGCTGAGCTCCCCAGAGCCATTCAGCATCTGTGTTTTAGGCAGCTGATTCCAGCTCCTCTCATCTGAATGTCCATTCGTGGTAGGCATCTCTCTCTCTTCCCATGGCTGTGCCTGCTTTTCCCCCTCATGGGACTGCTGATGCTCCAGTAGATCCCGAGGCAGCCGGAAAGCGCGAGGGCAGTGGGGACAGTGGTAAGGCCGATACTGAGCGTGGAGTCGAGAGTGGTTCTTCAGAGCCATGAGGTTAGAAAACTCCTTAAAACAGATGGCACAAGGGTAGATCCCCAGAGTGTGGCTCTGGCGGTGGTTGGTGAGGCTCCCAGCATGCTTATAGGTCTTCCCACATTGATTGCACTTGTATTTTCGCTCCTCCTCAGCAGGAAGTGGCTCAGTGGATTCCTGGCCCCCCGTGAAGTTCACTACTGATTCAGCCAAATACTGCTCCAAATTGCTAAGGAGGTTGCTAGCTGGAGTGGGGAGCGATGGTGCTCCATCAGAATTGGTGGCGGGTACCCAGTCCTCTGCACTTTCTTTAGCATCTGGCTGGATTTCTTGGCCTCCTCTTGGTTTGGTCGGTGGATCTTCCCAAGTACCTGGAGCTACCCTGGGATCAGCTCCAGAGTCACATTCGCTTGTCTCTTGTATACGCTTTGCCTGACTTTCCCAACCTTCCCTAGAAGCAAGTCTCTGGCTCCAGGATTCACTCTGACTGTGTGAAGTGGTCTCCCTGGCATGTGGGGGCCTGTGCCTTTGGGGAACCTCAGGAGCATGAGTCCTCATGTGGCTCTGGAGGACCGAGGGATTAGGAAAATCTTTGCCACAGGTGGTACAGGGGAAAAGACCAGTTTCAAGGTTCTGCTGGTAGTTGACAGAGGTCCCTGGGTGATGGTAGCCACGCCCACACTGCTGACTTCCAGAGGGGTGGGGGGAACTGTCAGTCTCCTCACTGTCCTGGTTAGAAGATGGGTGGAGCAGTTCTCGATGCCGTGACAGTTCTGGGAGGTTAGGGAAGTGGCGCTGACAGTCAGAGCAGCTGAATGAAAGGGGCATGTCCTCCATGGGCAATGCAGTAGAAAAACCTAGAGGTTCAGGAGGAACAGACAGGCGGCAGCAGCATCTTTCTCTGCAGAAGGGGCCAAGGCCTAGAAAGAGGGGGCAGTAGTCAGAAGGAAGGACTGAATCAACTTTGTTCTTGGCTATATGAGCACCACATTCACTAGAAGTCACTGAGAGGTCTCTCCACCATCCATGCCAAGTGGCCTAGTTTTTATTAGGTCTGACGGTGTCATCATTTGAAGCTTTACTATGCACAAACTTCTATTGGGGGGGGGTTGAGACAGGGTTTCTCTGTGGCTTTGGAGCCTGTCCTAGAACTCGCTCTGTAGACCAGGCTGGTCTCAAACTCACAGAGATCCACCTGCTTCTGCCTCCCAAGTACAGGGATTAAAGGCGTATGCCACCACCGCCTGGCCCTACTAAGCACAAATTTCTAGAAAAGTTCCCCTAGGCACAAGTCATCTCTAGTGCCAGAGATAAGTGAACTAAAGACTAGAGTTTAGTTAGGCTCTAGACAGACCTAACTGGTTTTGTTTAGACAGTACATAATAAGATTTTACTGTTCCCAGGGCTCTGCTCTCTATAATTCCAGGACAAACTAACAACAACCTATGAGCTTTAACAATAAACCAAACTATTTCTTGCTCTGGTGGTGGTGTTGTTTTGAGGTAAGGTCTTAGCTCCCTCTGCAGCTCAAGCTGCTTTGGAACTCCCTATGTAGCCCAGGATAGCTTCAAGTTTATGGAGTTTCCTACCTTGGTCTCTTGAGAGCTCAGATAACACGTGAGAGCCACAACAACTGACCAGGCCTTAGAAAAAGAGAAGTCCAATTCTCTCTTCACCCCTCGGCTAAACCGAATGGTCTGAAAGCTGCTCTCTCAGCTGCCACCTAAGGCTTCCTAGACGGTGGAGACCCTTTCAAAGCAAGGGCGGCACCCGCCCCTGCGCGGCCTTTCAGCCGCACTCTTTCCTAATGCTGGAGGGCATTTGTTTCCCTTACCTGCTTTAAATCCTGCCCCAGCTCAGGTTGGATTTCACTTTAACCCGTTTCTTTCTCTGTGCCGTGCCTGCCTCACCTTGCTGTCACCATCATTTTTATTTTCTCTTCTACTTCCTCTCTACTGTCTAAAGATGACAGCAACCGTGCCAGACACTGCTTTCAAGTGTAGTCTGATTTGGGGAGGGAGGCATTTCAGACACGGTCTCACTATGTAGCTCTACCTTCACAGGTGCTGGGATTAAAGTCGTGGGCCACCAGGTCCGCCTTCTAAGTGTATTTATGCCATTAAACCCAATGCCTATGTTTCCCCAGTTTTCACATAAACTCACTGCAAGAGGCAATCTTCATTACAAAGCTCCCGCTTCCCCAGTAGCTGCCACTGATTTCCATCACTTCATCTTGCCTTTCTCCGAGCCTAACTCCAGTCTCCTGGGACCCTAAAATAACTATTTCTAATCTCACCAGCTGAGTCTGTTCCCAGAATTCTCTCTTCTCAAAACTTCTTCACTTAAAGAGTCCCTTTCCCTAATCAACCACCATCCTGATTCTCCAGAGTCATTCGTCTTTTCTGCCAATTTCCTCTCTAGATCCCTACCTCGCACCAGGAGTGCCTTCTGGTTCCCGCCGCCGGCGCGTCCGTTGGAGGTCGTGAACGGGAGCGCGCCTGCGCACTGGGACCCTTACCCTAACTGCAGCCGCGAGCCCTAAGTGGTTGCTGGTGCGAGGGTTCTCGAGCTCGCATACACAGGCACACTCAGCCAGGGTTCCCGGGAGTGGCAGATGAGGGAAAGAAGAGGGGAGAGAAGGAGATAGAGGTAACAGGGCACGGCAGGTATGAGCCAAGAGTCTACCCCAGTTCCGCGGACACTTCCTATTGTTACTAGGAATCAGGAAGTGTCCTAGGTGCTAAAGCTTCCCCCTGAAACTTCCGCCTAGGAACACTTCCTGTCTCTCCGAGCAGTGTTTCTACACGGACACGCTTCCGGCGCTATGTTCCGGGTGGGCCAAACTGTTTGGTTTTTGTTGTTTTTGAGACTGGGTCTATCTGTGCAGCTCAAGCTAGCCTCGAACTCGCAGGAATCCTCCTGCCTCAACCTCTGGAAAGTTGGAATTACAGGCGGCGTGAGCTATCACGCCCGACTGCAGGCGCAACTCTGGCTCCGCCCACGCAGGTCAGCGCGGCGTTCTGATGGACTTAAGCCACACTTCCGGCCAAAGCTGCTAAAATCGGTCCGATGCTTGTTCAGAAAGCACGGCAGAAAAAAAATATTCTGCAGCCCTGGCTACAGTACTTTGGTGACACTTTCCACGAGGTTCCGTAAAAGACTCTTCCTAAGACAGGAGCGAGAGGGGGGTCCTAAGTTCACTCCTCGCTGTTAGAATGTGCAATGCAAACGGATTCAGGCACTACAAACCCGAGTGCCCCCTCCGCATCTTCCCACCTAGCTCTTGGAGACGCCTCCGGCGACCTGGCGGGCGTACACCGTCAATCGGCCTGGCGTCCCATCCCCTTAGCACCCAGAGACCCTTCGCAAGATACTTCTCTGCTACTGGAGGCTCGGGGCTGCTTCCGCAAGTTTTTCCTTCCTCTTGAGCAAGGAAGGCGCCCTTCCACTTCCGCTGTCTGGCCGCCGGCCCCGCCCCTAACCTCCCTCTTGCTGGGTCCTAGCGCCGGCCCCTCGCCGAGTGTCCCGGGCTCTGCCGGTGCTAGGCACCGCCGCCGAAGCTGCGGAGCCTGTGGAAGTCGAGCCAGGTAGGACACGTCTGCGGGAAGTCTCAAGGGCCTCAGGCAGCGGGCACCAGCGCGGTTTGAGCTGCCTTCAGTTTCCCCGTTGATGCCGAGCGGACGGAGTTGACCAGGCGCGAGCATCGCGGGCGGGGCGAGCGGTGAGCGGCCTCGGGCGGGCTGCGGGCCCAGCAGGTCCTAGAACCCGCCCGGTGCCCGCCGGTCAGCGCTGTGGCTGCCTGGGCTCAGCGGACGCGACAGCCGGTCTTGCTCCGCGCGAGCCCGGGGGTCCTAGAGTCCGCCATGTTATGGGCTTTTGTCTGTGTGGCGCCGACCTCCTAGCCAAGTCCTCCGCGTCTGCGCGCCCCCCTCCCAGTCCGAGGTCCTGCCCGCCCCTCCCGCGGTCCTAAAGATCGCCATTTTGCAGGTCTTTGTCCTGCTCTCGATCATCTGTCCATTCATTTGTTCATTCCTTACTTCTTCATTCATTCTTTCTTGCTATGCTCGCCGAAGCCACGTTATCCTAGGGTTTAGTCCCACATGAGTCAGCATACAGCCCCGCTCTGCGGGGGCTGCCTGTTTGGCGAGGACACCCGCACAAACACGGTTGCAGAGAGCGAGGAGCGCTGGGTTTCTGCAGCTCTTGTCCCTCCTCAGAGAGTCTGGTAGGCCCTACCGCCCTGCAAACTCCCATTTGCTTCAGGGGCCCCATTCGACTGAAGAAATCGAGGCCAAGAGCGCTGTGCATCCCTCATCTTTACTGCCTGATAAATATTCTTGAGGGCACGGAATATTGGGGAACGGAGTAATGGAAGTGTGCAAGGATCTTCCTGTGGGAGAAGGAAAACCAGCAGGGCTCCTGGGCAAACGGAATTGCATATGGAGGTGGTAAAGTCTGTGAATTGTGGATGGAGCTTAGGTTGCTGACCAGTGGGCACACCGCCACAGAAAACTGAGGCTGGGATTTTTTTTTTCCAGACAGGGTTTCTCTGTGTAGCTTTGGAGCCTGCCCTGGCACTCACTCTGTAGACCAGACTGGACTCGAACTCACAGAGATCCGCCTGCCTCTGCCTCCCGAGTGCTGGGATTAAAGGTGTGCGCCACCACCGCCCTGCTGATGGGATCATTCTTGAGCTAATTTTTGTTTTTTTTGTTTTTTGGTGTTTTTTTGTTTTGTTTTGTTTTTTTTTTTGTTTTTCGAAACAGGGTTTCTCTGTGGCTTTGGAGGCTGTCCTGGAACTCGCTCTGTAGACCAGGCTGGCCTCGAACTCACAGAGATCCGCCTGCTTCTGCCTCCCGAGTGCTGGGATTAAAGGCGTGCGCCACCAACGCCCGGCTGCTAATTGGTTGTTATACTTAAACATTCACCCCAACACAATCCCATCAACTCACCAAAAGGCTCGAGGTCTGTTAGGCTTGTTTGTTGTCTTGAGGAGATTGGGAATGTAGGTACCTGTTTTATTTTTTTTAGCCACACCTGCGGCCGGAGTGGGGGAACTGAGTCTGCATTAACTTGAGAGACAGCAAAAATGTCATTCCTCTCTCAGGCGAGGAGTTACATTGTGTCCTGTCACAACAGCCGACAAATTGAAGTGCTGGGGTGATGCTGGACCCGATGGCTTTGTAGAGATGGGAGTTTCGGTGAATGAATAGTTGGTGACTGAGTCTCACAAACTCCAACAGTGGAGGAGGCAGAGGCCGTAGACCTGGGTTTGAATTCCACCTGAAGTTTGCTTTCAGTCACCAAGCAATTTGGGACATAAAGAGAACTTAGAACAAAGTGCCGTGGGCCCCAGTGGTGGAGGCAGAAAATTAACAATCAAGTAATAAGATGTGTTAGTGCTAATAAAGCAATAGTCAAGGGGACAGATGGCAGAAATTTGGGTATCTGACTACCTGGCTTCAAATACTAGCTCAATCTATGACTAATTGCTTGGCATTTCTGTGTTGTCTCTTATTCTAAGAACTTGTTTAATTAAATTTTTATTTATCTTGTGTGTGCATGTGTGTGCTTGCAGCATATGTGTGAAAGTCAGAGGACAGATTCTTGGAGTCTGTGCTTTCTTTCCACCATACGGGTCCTGAGGGTGCAACGCAGGTAGTCAGGCTTGGTGAAACCACCTTTTTACCTCCCCAGCCCTCTTCTAGCCCCCAGAGTATTAAATTTACGGGACCAAAGCTCTACCCTATGACTTTATTTAGGCTTCATTATTGCTGCAAAGACCTTGCTTCCGAACACAGAATTTTAGAAGAACACAACTGTTCAGTCTGTAACAAACATCTAAGAACTGGGAGATGAGCTTGAGTAGTTGGATCAGTGAGCATAAAATGCTAATGATAACCCAGTCAATAACAGTAAGCCTGCAGGTAGTATCTAATTCAGATGGCACCATAAAAAATGTTATTTGAAAGGGGAATTTAAACAGTAGTTAGTTAGGATAAAGATACCATTATTTAAAAGAAGTCCGTGAGGTGTGGTGGCATACACTTTTACATCCCAGCAGACAAGCAGATAGATCTCTGTGAGTTCCAGGCCCGCCAGCCAAAGCTATATAGTGGAACCTTGTGTCAGTGGCAAGCATGCGTGAGATCCTAAATTTGACTCCAAGCACTGCCAGAAAGAAAGGAAGGTAGGTGGTCCATGAGCCACACCTGTAATCTCAACACAGAGCAGGCTGAGGCAGGAAGAATCAGGGCCAGCCTGGGCTACATAGTAAGACCCAGCACTCCACTGCCAAAAAGTCGTCAAGAAAACCTTTATTTTTTATGTGTATGAGTGTTATGCTTGCATGGATGTGTGTGCGCCAAGTGTATGCCTATAACTGGAGTACAGGTTGTTGTGAGCTACCATGTGTGTGATGGGAACCAGGCCTGGGTCCTCTGAAAGACAGTGATTGCTCTTACTGCTGTGTCATTTCTCCAGTGCCCAGAAAAGCCTTCTTAGGCAGAAGGAGATGGCCAAGCTTGAGACCTGAGTTCAGCCTCCTACACTGTATGGTAACAGGAGACAGGACTCTAGCTGTCCTCTGGCCACCACTCATACACAGAGACAGCAAATACATTTTTTTAAAGAAAAAGGAAGAAGGAAGAAAGCCTTGATAAAGGAAGTGTCTGGGAGCTAAGACCCAACAGTAACCAAAGAGATAAGACACAAAGATGCTCAGTAGACTGTGAATAATGGTTCTGACCAAGAGATGCTAGTGTAAACACCCTGAGGCCAAGAGGCATGAGTGGGTGACACTTAGTGATGGCATCGAGGAATTGAACAGAGCTAAGCAGGAGTGAGATGGATTAGGGATTTGCTGATCATAGAAAAATACTGGTGTTTGTCCTGGGAAGTGTCAGGATTTGGCTAAAGATTTCAAGTGATGAAAGAGTCTAACTCAGGGTTTGAAGTTTGAGTTTTGACTCTGTGGATCTCTGTGCACTTTTTGTCTTGGGAGGATTTAAAAATAAAGTAGTAAAAACACATTTTAAAGCAGAGTTGTAGTACAAATGTGTCCCTCCTAAAAGCACTAGTCTGAGTCTGTCTGTCTGTCTGTCTATTTTTCTTTCTTTTATTTGTGGTATTGAGGATAGAACCCAGTGCTTGACATGTGTCAGACAAGTATCCTGGCTCACATGTCCGATTCTTAGTGATCCACAGAGTTTGTTTAAAGTAGAGATTGCGGGCTGGAGAGATGGCTTGGTGGGTTAAAACACTAGCCATAGAAGCTTGGCAATCTGACTTTAAGCCCCCAAAACCCATGCAAAAAGCTGGATTTGGTGGTAGACATCTATAATCCAGCACTGCATACAGGAGAATGGTCAGAAACCTTGCCAGCTAGTTAGTCTGGACTACACAGGGTAGCAACAGAAACAATATGAGAGACCCCAGTCAACAAAGTGGAAGGCAAGAACTGACTCCTAGTTGTCCTCCACACACACACACACACACACACACACACACACACACACACACACACACCATTACTCCCAGCACTCAGAAGGCTAAAGCAGGTGTATCTCTGACTTCAAGGACACCCTGTCTTGGCTGTCCTGGAACTCGCTCTGTAGACCAGGTTGGCCTTGAACTCACATAGATCTGCCTGCCTCTACAGTGCTGGGGTTAAAGGTATGTGCCACCAATGTCCAGCCTTTGTGTGCTTTTTTAAAAGGATTTATTTTTATTCTTTTTGTGTGTGTGTGTGTGCATGTGTTAGGACATGTCTGCAGGTGCCCAATGGGGCCAGAAGAGGGTACCAGATCCCTTGGACCTGAAGTTACAGGTGGTTGTGACCCACTCAGTGTTGTACTAGGAACTGAACTCAGGTCCTGTAAGAACAGCAGGACTCTTAACCACAGGGCCATCTCAGCCCCTTATACTTGTTATTTAAGCCAGGCTCTTGCTATGTAGCTCAGGCTGGTCTTCAACTAATGATCCTCCAGCCTCAGCCTCACAAGTATTAGGATTGTAGGTGTGCTTCCTAGATGAGGAGTTTGATGCAGGGATTTGTCAGACCTCATTTGGAAAAACATCACTCTCCACAAGGGTGGGTACGATGAGGTATAATCTGGCGCTACATTTTTCATGGAGCTAGGTGCCTGCTGGTACCCGTTAGACACTTCCCTAAAGTTTCTCCTCTTACGAGCCTTAGGAGGGATTTACCTCTCCATCAGAATAGAAGACTGAAACTCAGACCTGGAAGGGCCAGGATAGGGGCCAGAGCTCAAGATTAGCAAGGCTGAGTGAGACAACGCTGGCTCCTGGCCCTGGTCTCAGTGCAGTGTTAGCAGGACGAAAGAATGTATAGGTGAAGCCGGGCCGTGGTGGCACACACCTTTAATCCCAGCACTCGGGAGGCAGAGGCAGGCGGATCTCTGTGAGTTCGAGACCAGCCTGGTCTACAAGAGCTAGTTCCAGGACAGCCTCCAAAGCCACAGGGAAACCCTGTCTTAAAAAAAAAAAGGTATAGGTGCAACATGAGCGAGCTCAGGCTCCTAGACACTGGGGCAGGCCCCGACATTAAGTATGGACACAGACTTTTGAGCAAGGGCTCAAACATTTTAAATGCTAGGAGTCAAGTCTCAGCTGTGTTAAGTTTCTAACTGTATGGCATGACAAAGTCTCTTTACTCTTAGAATTCAATTCAGTCTCTCTGTAAAATGGGGTCAGTGATTCCTGTTTCAGGCGGTGTGAGAATTATGTAAGGTGCCACACCCGACTGTCTGGCTCTGAGATGACTCCATGAGGGAAGCAATCTGGTTCCGGTCAGTCCTCATCTGTTCCACGAGTTAGTACTGTTTTTACCTCCGTTTTTCAGGCGAGAAAACTGAGGTTCTAAGATACATAGTAAGTTGTACAAAAGTCGCGTCAGCTGCGACATGGTGGCGGCTAGATTTGAATCTGGGCATTCTGACTTCAGAATATATGTATATACACTGAAATATATGTATATTCTCTGGGTCTTGTTTCTTGTGGTGTTGATGGAAGGATGAGTTGATATATGCAAAAAGGTTAGAATGCTCTGGAATTTGGCAAGTACTTAGTAGATGTGAGCTGCCTTTTTTTTTTTTTTTAAAGCAGTTCTAGGGATCAAGACCAACCAAGCCTCATGTACCCTCACCCTGGTTTTTGTCTTTTTCCTTTAGGAAAAATTTAGGAGGCTAAGGGTATGTCTCGGTGGTAGAGTGCCTGTCTTGCCTGCACCAGGCCCTGGGTTCAAGCCTCAGAAACTTCCTTCCTCCCCCCCAAAAAATGCTTCTGGGTATGTGGAACTGACCCTAAGCAGTGTCTCACTCAGGGTTCCCTCAGTCAGCCAGGTAAACTGCTTCTGTTGATCTTTTCTGGAATGGGTCCTGAGCATCTCCCCACCCCACCCCCAGACTTACTTCAGGTCCATCCTTCTCTAGCCCAGCTCCTGTGGTGTGCAGATGAGGCCACACGTCTATAATCATCCTAGTAAATGATCCACAAGCCTGAACATAGAGCCCTGGCCCACTACCCTCTGGGCACACCTGGCTCTTCTTGCCCTCTCTCCCAGCCCCAGCCCCACATCTAAGACCCTCTTAAGAGGATCTGCTCTAATCCTATTGCCTTCATCCCTCCAGGAGGATGAGCGGGTGTTAAAAACCAATGCAGCTGTTAATCCTATTTTTTCCCAACTATGATCCTAGGAGCAGCTGTGTGGATGTTGTCTGGGCTCTTGGCCAGAAAGTAGGAACTCAGCAAGAGCTAGTATCCCAGGAGGTCTCGCTAGCTCAGACACGTCAGTTGTGACTGAGAAAGACTCTGACTGCCAGCAGTAGGTCAGGCTGCCTTGAGAGTGAGTGAGCTCCCCATTCCCAGAGTTTTGGACTAAAAGGGATTCCAGCTCAGATGGACCAAAATTCCTGTCTGGGGTGGAGTCCAACCGGGGGGGAGGGTGCGCACATACCAAGACCCGTTACCTCCAGACACGGCCAGCCAGCCACCCCGTCTAAACATGGACTCCTCTCTGGACCTCAGGCTGTCTTCCCTTAGTGCTTGGAGACCTTAAAGCCTTGGTTGGAACTGAGAAAGAAGATGTGAGCGTAATGGAGCCTAGGCATTCTGGGAATGCCCAGGGTTAGAAAACGAGAGGGTAAGGAGTAGAATACAGCTGCTTCTTTTCTGGTTCTGGCCTCTTACTGGTTTCTACCCTAATGAGCAGATCAGAGGGGAGACTGGAACACAATATCAAGCCTGGGGACCATCAGCACAGTAAAGGACGTAGAGTCAGTGCTCTGGGCCGAGGAGCCCCAGGTTTGGAAGCTCTGGGGTGAGCCTGGAGAGCTGCCTCAGTGGGTAAGCGCGTGCAGTAGAGCATTCAGGGCTGATTCCTAGCACCCACGTGGTGGCTCACGAACATCTGTAACTCCAGTTCCATGAACAGCCTTAGGCATGGACATGGTGCCAGCAGACCTTCACACATGTAAAATGAAAGTATTTTTTTTCCCTTAAAGATAGGGTTACCTCAGAGCGGGGCATTGGTGGCACACACCTTTAATCCCAGCACTCAGGAGGCAGAGGCAGGCGGATCTCTGTGAGTTTGAGGCCAGCCTGGTCTGCAAATCACGTTCTAGGACAGCCAGGACAGAGAAACCCTATCCTGATTTAAAAAAAAAAAAAAAGAAGGAAAGGAAAAGATAGGGTTACCTCAGATCTTGAGAGGGCTTTAGTGAAGAGTAGAGCCTTGAAGAATGCAGAGGGGTGGCTTTGGTCTAATTTTACTTTTCTCGCAGAGAAGGCCCACCCACCAAGGCCATGGAAGTGGAGGCTACAGAGGCCAAGTCCCCAGGCCCCTGCTACAAGCGCTCTGGACGCCGTTTTAAGTGCCTGTTCTGTACAAAGACGTTTCCAAATGCTCCCAGGGCAGCACGCCATGCTGCTACGCACACACCTACAGATTGCTCAGAGGAGGTGAATGAGGTCCAGCCAAAGGTGGATGCAGAGCCCAAGGCCGAGGAAGCCAGCGGAGACAAGGTGTCCGGCCCAGTAGGAAAGCCCCGGCCCTATGCCTGCCCGCTGTGCCCCAAGGCCTACAAGACAGCACCTGAGCTACGCAGCCACGGGCGCAGCCACACTGGTGAGAAGCCCTTCCCATGCCCAGAGTGCGGCCGCCGTTTCATGCAGCCTGTGTGCCTGCGTGTGCACCTGGCCTCGCATGCTGGTGAGCTGCCCTTCCGATGTACACACTGCCCCAAGGCTTATGGTACACTCTCCAAACTCAAGATCCACCAGCGTGGGCACACAGGCGAGCGGCCCTATGCCTGTACTGACTGCGGCAAGAGCTTCGCTGATCCCTCAGTGTTCCGCAAGCACCGGCGCACCCATGCGGGCCTGCGACCCTACAGCTGCGAGCGCTGCGGCAAGGCCTACGCCGAGCTCAAGGACTTACGGAACCACGAACGGTGAGACACCTGGATAAGCTGGGAAACATGAGTGGGAACTAGCATCTAATAGATATGCCAATCGGAAGGGGGGCGGCTGGACACTTACCTCAAGATAGGAGCACCTGGTTGGACAGGTCAGGCAGGCTAGGTGGCAGAGCAAAGTGCCCAGAGAGCGGGTGGGGTCTTACTGGCCTAGGTTCCAGTACAGCTGGAAAGGGAACAGTGTTTGGAATCTGTCACCCACAGCGGGAGGGGCATATGTGAGTCCTAGGAAAGAGGGCACTTTAGATTTTTTTCTTTTGGTTTTTAAAGCAGAGTTCTTTAAAGTTGCCATGGCTGTCCTAGCTCACTTTGTAGACCAGGCTGGCCTTGAGCTCACAGAGATCGCCTGCTGGGATTAAAGGTGTGCACCACCACTGCCCAGCTGGAGTTCCTCACTCTAGGGTACAGCCCTGTAGCTCTTAGGGAGTTGCAGCCCAGACAGGATATAGGGCTGTCCCACGGGAGCCTGTTGCCATCTAACCAGGCCCTCCGTTACTCCGCAGGTCCCACACGGGTGAGCGCCCCTTCCTCTGCTCTGAGTGTGGTAAAAGCTTCTCCCGATCCTCTTCCCTCACTTGCCACCAGAGGATCCATGCAGCCCAGAAGCCCTATCGCTGCCCGGCTTGTGGTAAAGGCTTTACGCAGCTCAGCTCCTACCAAAGCCATGAGCGCACACATTCGGGCGAGAAGCCCTTCCTGTGCCCTCGCTGTGGCCGCATGTTTTCCGATCCCTCGAGCTTCCGCCGCCACCAGCGGGCCCATGAGGGCGTGAAGCCTTACCGTTGTGAGAAGTGTGGCAAGGACTTCCGGCAGCCGGCGGACCTGGCCATGCATCGCCGAGTGCACACCGGTGACCGGCCCTTCAAGTGCCTGCAGTGCGACAAGACTTTCGTGGCTTCCTGGGACCTCAAGCGGCATGCGTTGGTGCACTCAGGACAGCGGCCGTTCCGCTGTGAGGAGTGTGGGCGAGCCTTTGCTGAGCGAGCCAGCCTCACCAAGCACAGCCGCATGCACTCCGGCGAGCGTCCTTTCCACTGTAATGCCTGCGGGAAATCCTTTGTGGTGTTATCCAGCCTCAGGAAGCACGAGCGTACCCATAGAAGCAATGAGGCTACAGGAGCTGCCCCCCAGCAGGAGCTGGTACTGGGACTGGCGCTGCCTGTAGGGGTCGTGGGTGAGGGCTCAGCTGCCCCCGTGGCAGGGGCGGGGCTAGGGGACCCTCCAGCGGGGCTGCTAGACTTACCCGCAGAGTCCGGTGGTGTGGTGGCCACACAGTGGCAAGTGGTGGGCATGACCGTGGAGCATGTGGAGTGCCAGGATGCTGGTGTCGGGGAAGCTCCTGGTACCCTGGGAGATGCAGGAGAGGTGGGGGGTGAGGAGGCTGATGAGAAGCCCCCACAGTTCGTGTGTCGTGAGTGTAAGGAAACTTTCTCCACACTGACGTTGCTACGCAGGCACGAGCGCTCACACCCGGAGCTCCGGCCCTTTCCCTGCACCCAGTGTGGTAAGAGCTTCTCAGACAGGGCTGGGCTTCGTAAACATAGCCGCACCCACAGCTCAGTACGCCCCTACTCCTGCCCCCAGTGTCCTAAAGCTTTCTTGAGTGCTAGTGACCTGCGCAAACATGAACGCACCCACCCTGTGCCGGTCGGGACCCCCATACCCCTAGAGCCTCTTGTGGCTTTACTAGGAATGCCAGAAGAAGGGTCAGCTTGAAGCTCAGAGCTCTCTGCCACATTCTCAGTCTCCAGATCCCTGCCACTGGGCAGTTAGTTCGGCTCTCAAGCCACCAAGAATTGGGGACAGTGGAGGCTTGCAGCACTTGTGAGAGTCACTCATTAAAGCGTTGGCTTTGACACCAAGCTGTCTTCTGTATTCTGGTTGAGTTAAATTTCAGTGGAGATCCCGGATTAACACAAATTATAAAGGTCTTGGTGGTATTTTGTTTTGTGACAGGATCTCACAGCTTAGCCTGATCCAGAGCTCACCGTATAGCCCAGGCTCACCTTGAACTCAACCAATCCCGTGTCAGCCTCCCAAAAACTAAAATTATAGGTGTTTACCACCACATGTGGCTCCTAGAAGGGGCTTGCAATTCATTGTTTGCCAAAGTACATTTTGGGTTTCTTGTGAAAGAGCTTTCAGTGGGCAAATCAGGACGGGAAGGAGTGTGCTTTGAGAGTCTGGAGTTAAAGGTGTCTTGAAGCATTAGTCAGTCCTGCAGTGAGCAAACCAACAGAGCTTTGTTCAGCCTACACTCAGGGTCATGTGAGGAGCTGGGGTCAAACGATCATCTTTTCTCGGGACTGAGAAAGGACTCCACTGCTAAAGGCTAAGGCTCACAATTAAAAAGTACTCAGCGTGTCTCTCCAACTACCTTAAAAAAATTCCGCCCTCCTCAGGTGTGAGACAACTAAAAAAAGATTATCTTTTCTGTTTATCACAGTAACAAATTAGGAAGCATGCTTGGAGGAACAGAGATCCCTCTTCACACTGAAACCCATGAGCTACAAAGGAATAACCTCATCTTAAAGGTGCTGCTGGGCATGGTGGTGCACATCTGTAATGCCAGCACTCTGCAGACAAAGGCAGGGAGGTCTCTAAGGCCAGCCCGGTCTGCATAGTATGTTTCAGGACAGCCAGGACTACACAGAAAGACCCTGACTCAAACAAACAAACAAAACTAAGACTATATGAAAAAAAAATATATATATGTATATTGCCAATGCAGTGGGGATATACTATGTACCTGAATGGACAGGGTTATTATTAAAAGATGTTGATAGGCTCTACCATTTGGAGGCAAAGGCAAGGGGATCTCTGTGAGTTCAAGGCCAGCTTGATCTCTATCAGGAGTTCCAGGCAGGTCGGTCAGTTCGTGTGTCTCCCTCCCTTCCTCTCTCTCCCTCCCTCCCTCCCTCCCTCCCTCCCTCCCTCCCTCCCTCCCTCCTCTCTCTCTCTCTCTCTCTCTCTCTCTCTCTCTCTCTCTCTCTCTCTCACACACACACAGAGAACACACACACACTAACAGTAGGGACTTATCTTGGTGGTAGAGCACTTACCTACTATGTGTGAGGTCCTGAGTTCTGTCTACAGCATTAGGAGGAAACAGTTGACTTTCCCAGTTTAATCTTTAAGTTCATTGCCTGTGCAGCTTTGGCCAGCATTAAATTCACAGTGAAGCCCAAGCCGACCTCAAACTGGTACATCTGCTGTAGCTACCTAAGCATTTGCCATCATATGCCATAACACCTGACGGTCTTTCATTTGAGGGAGAAACAGAACAGAACAGGGTTTCCCTCTGCTGAGTGTTTACTACCCTTTCTTTGTATTTCATGATGCCAGCTGGTTGTCAGTGCAGTGAAACCAAACTTGAGAGCAGATGATTTTGCCATTCCCCCCAGATTTGTGAGATTGGTATCAAGCTGGGACTGGTCTCTGTACGAACTCTGTAACTGGCCTGTGAAGTTCCCACCAGTCTCCCCAATGCTGTGATCATCAGTGTTTTCAATGTGGCCATCCCAGCTAGAAAGTGGAAGATGACTTGGCCTGTGGCTTGCTACTGGCCTGATGTTTGAAAACATCCAGCAGCACGTTAATTGTACCATTATAGTGTATAAAAAGAGCCCAAAGGGTTTTTTAATCCAGTCTGAGAATCCAAAGCTCTTATGGGACATAATAAGCACTTGCTCTGCCACTGAGCTGCACCTCCAGCCCATAATACTTAAAAACAAAAGACAGAGGTGATGTGTTTGATGCTAAAAACCAAAGCACTAGAATAAAAAAATAATGATTGGTACAAAAATAAAAGTCAATCAGTGGAGTGAGAGGATCTAGAAACAAGTGTATCTGAACTTACTAGTATTTATTTTAAGTTTTGGAGTGCTGGTGATTGAATAGGAGCCGCAAGCAGGCTGGGCAAACATTTTACCTTTGAGCTATATCTCTAGCCCTTTATTGTTTTTATTTTGAGATTAAGTTTACAGACTTGTACAACCAAGCCCAACACATTTTATCAATCTTTCCTTTATTGTTTTTGTTGTTGTTTTTATTTATTTAAAAAAATTTTTAAAACAATCTATTTGACTTTATGTTCATTGGTATGAAGGTGTCAGATCGCTGGAACCAGAGCTACAGACAGTTGTAAGCTGCCATGTGGGTGCTGGGAATTGAACCTGGGTCCAGTGGAAGAGCAGCCATTGCTCTCTAGCCTATTTATTTTTAGGGGGGATTTTAGAACCAGGATTTCTCTGTATAGCTTTGGAACCTGTTCTGGAACTCACTCTGTAGACCAGGCTGGTCTTGAACTCACAGAGATCTGCCTGCCTCTGCCTCCTGAGTGCTGGGATTAAAGGTGTGAGCCACTACCGCCCGGCTTGTTGTCTTGTTTTGCTTTGCTTTTTTGAGACAGTCTTGCTGTGTGGCCCAGAGTGGCCTTGATCTTATGATGCTTTCATTCATTCAGCATCTAATGTTCTGGGATTGCCACCAATTTTTGTGAATTTTTTTTTAATGGCAAATGTGATTGTTCACATCACTGGGGAAAAGAAAGACTAGTACATAGCTTTCCTTGAAAAATGTCTAGATGACTCCATGAATTTTGTCTTCATTATCACATGAGCATACATATATGCATGAACACACATACACGCTCATACACACACACGCACACACAGAGATACCTAGGAAATGAGTTATACAGGTGTAGCCCCTATGCCTATAATCCCAGCACTTGGAGGTAGAAGCAGGGTATTTAAAGGGGTCTAATGTGACATGAGACTGTCTCAAAAGTGAAACAATAAAAAAACAAACAAAACCACCTGTTAGACAGAGAAACGGGGTGGGGGGAGAAAAGAAAAAACAAGGTGAGGGTAAGATTTGCAGACCCAGGGTTTTGGAGTGTGGCAGGGTGGAAGTCGTTAGTGTGTTCCCCTTCAGGGTCAAGTCACAAAGTCCTCAAATCTTCATGGAATACTTCTTCAAAATTTTCTTTTACATTTGGCTGGGCGGTGGTGACGCACGCCTTTAACCCCATCACTTGGGAGGCAGGGGCAGGTGGATCTCTGTGAGTTCGAGGCCAACCTGGTCTACAGAGTGAGTTCTAGGACAGCCTCCAAAGACACAGAGAAACCCTGTCTCGAAAAGCCAAAAAATTTTTTTCTTTTACATTTAGTTGTGTGGTGGTGCTGCACACTTATTCCCAGCACTGCAGAGGCAGGGGGATCTCTGAGTTTGAGGCCAGTCTGATCTACAGAGTGAGTTCCAAGACAGCCAGGGCTACACAGAGAAACCCTGTCACTAACACACCCCCAAAATTACTTTATACTTGTTTTGTGTGTGTTCACATGTATGTGTGTGGGTACATATGTACCACGGTGCTCGTATAGCAGTCAGAGAGTAGCTTGGGGGGAGTTAGGTCTCTTCCACCATTTGGGACCTAAGGATAGAACTCAGGTTGTCAGTCTTGACAGCCTGCCGAGCCACTTTGCCGGCCTAGCAGGCTGCTGAATAAGATTCTAGGTCATACATTATAGCCACTCGGGCCTCCCTTTCTATTTGTAGCTATGGCAAAGCTAAAGGTCAACATGAGCCACAACTCCCTTCCTAAGCTTATTCCTTTTCCTCCTTAGAGTCTTGCTATAGGAACTCATTTTTCCTTTCCTTCCTTTTTTTCTTTTTTTTTTTTTTTTTTAAGACAGCGTCTCCCAGTGTTATCCCAGACTAGCCTTGGACTTGAGGTGATTTCTCCTGCCTCAGCCTCCTGAGTGCTGAGATTACAACCATGCACCACCACACTGGGATCCTGTGCCTTTGTAAGAGTTGAGTCATGTTGGGAAGGAACCAGGATGCAGTTCCTATCCATGCCCCTCGTGTTAGTCATGAGTGACACTGCAGCAAGCAACCATAGTTCAGGAAGGGTTAGCCAGGCAGTGGCCCCGGGAGAATAGCAGGGTTATGCCCAGGTTCTCAGACATTGGGATTGAGAGGGAAATCCTTATGCCCAGGTTCTCAGACATTGGGATTGAGAGGGAAATCCTTTAGGTTCTTGAGATGGCTCAACCAGTAAAATGTATTTGGCACTTAGCTTGACAACCCAAGGTTCATAGCCAAGACCTGCATGATGGGAGGAAAGAACCGCTTCTTCCACATTGTCCTCTGGCCTCCAGCAGTGATGTGGTGTACACAGGCAGTCAGAAATGGAGGGGGGCATCTTTAGAGTTGAGAGTGTATGTAGTTCAGTGGTAGAGCATTTGCTTAGCGCTTAATGAGGACTTTGGTGTCATAAAAAGAAGTTACATGGCCATCATGGAGAGAGGAGGGCATGGTGGACACTGAGGCGGCTCATGGAGCAAAAGGCACTTGTCACCAAGGCTGATGACCTGAGCTTGATCACTGGAGCCTACATTGTCGAAGCGGAGAATCCACTACAGAAAGTCACCCTTTTGACCCTCCGTGCACTCTGACACAAAGGCACATGAACATACAATTAAAACAGTGATAAAGTTTATGATTTATTTACAAACTTTCTGTTTTTAATTTTTATTATTGATTATATGTTTGTATGTGGGTTATATGCATGTCAGCACAGGTGCTTACAGAAGGTTTCAGGTCCCCTGGAGCTGGAATGACAAGCAATTGTGAGCCACTTGATGTGGCAGCAAGTTCTGAAGAGCAGAGACATTCCTCCAGCCACCACAGATGTATTTTTACAAGCTATGTGTTTCTTATAGCTAGAAACCCTTAGACTTAAGATACTTGGCCCATTCTGAGTTAATTTCTGTAAATGGTTTGGGGCAGGCGGTTCAACTTTGTTCTTTTGCCTGTGGATTTTCAGTTGTTTCAGAAGGATCTGTGGAAAAGACCATTCTTTGTCTATTGAATTGTCTTGGCTTTCTTTAAAAAAAAATAAACTAATTGTAAATATGAGGGGTTTTGTTTGGTTTTTAGCTGGGGATCAAACCCAAGGCTTGACCCTTGTTAGGCAAATGCTAAGTCACACCTTCAGCTTCTTGTCTGCCATTCTGCCAAAACCACACTGCTGAATTATTGTAGGATTTTAAAAAGAGATTTCTTTATTTCTAAGTATTTTGACTTCGTGTATGTCTGTGCATCCAGAAGAGGGGTTGGGTGTCCTAGAACTGGCATTATGGATGGTTGCGAACGACTGTGGATCTGGGAATGGAACCCCAGACCTCTGCAATAGCAGTAAGTGCTTTTAACCACTGAGCCATTCTCTCTCTGTCTCTCTCTCTCTCTCTCTCTCTCTCTCTCTCTCTCTCTCTCTCTCTCTCTCTCTCTCTCTCTCTCTCTCTCTCTCTCTCTCTCTGTCTCTCTCTCTCTCCCTGATTAGTATAGATTTTAGTATAGATTTGTAGGAACTTCAAATCAGGGTCTATGAGACTTCTAACTTGGTTATTTATTTTTTCTCCCAACTTTTTTTTTTCTGATCTTACAATTCCATTTTATTTTTACTATGTAGTCTTTGGATTTGAGAGCTGTATGTTGGCCCCAAATTCACTATGTAGTCCTTGGTGGCTTCTAACCCACCATTCTCCTCCTGTCTCAGCCTCCTGAGTGCTGGAATTACAGATGTATGCCATCACACTTAACTCCATTTGGATTTTTGGATCAGATTGTCAGATTTTGCTGTCAAGAAATTTAAAAAGCTAGTTACGGTTTTGGTAGTAGTACTGAATCGGTTGATAACATTTGTGACATATTACCATTTTAACAATATTGAATTTTCTGATCTGTGAGCGTGGAAAGTTTTAAATTTAATTAGATATTTATTTTAATGTTTAAAGTTCTAGTTGTTCTGTTTTGTTTTCTTTTGTTTTTAGGGGAGTTGTTTTTCGAGGCAGCGTTTCTCTGTGTAACAGCCCTGGCTGTCCTGGAACTCACTCTGCAGATCAGGCTGGACTTGAACTCAGAGATCTGCTTGCCTCTGCCTCCTAAGTGCTGGCATTAAAGACCTGCACCACTACAACCCAGCCTTAAAGATTTATTGTTATTGTGTGCATGGGTGTTTCACTGGGATGTCTGTGCCCCAAGAGGGTGTCAGAGTCCCCAGAACTGGAGTTACCGACTTGGTTACCTAGGAACCAAGTTGAGGAGCCCTGGAAGAGCAGCCGGTGCTCTAACCTCTCGGCCACCTCTCCAACCCACCTTAGAGCTCTGATTTCCTTCAACAGCGTTTTTTCATTTTATCTACACATCTTACACTTCAGTTATTACATTTATATCAAATTATTCTTTTTGCCAGGCGGTGGTAGCACATGTCTTTAGTCCATCACTCAGGAGGCAGAGGCAGGCAGATCTCTATGAGTTCAAAGACAGCCTGGTCTACAGAGCCTCCAGGACAGCCTCCAAAGCTACACAGAGAAACCCTGTCTTGAAAAACCAAAAAAAAAAAAAAAAAAAAAAAAAAAAAAAAGATAAAAGTTTAGAGGTAAGCCGGGCGGTGGTGGCTTACACCTTTAATCCCAGCACTCGGGAGGCAGAGGCAGGCGGATTTCTGTGAGTTCGAGGCTGGGCTGGACCGACAGCCTCCAAAACAATAGAGAGAAACCCTGTCTCGTAAAACAAAACAAAACAAAAAGTTTAGAGGTAAAAGGTAGACGGATTACTTTAAGAAGAGCTGGCAAGAAACGACAAGTTAAGGCCAGGCATTGGTGAGAATAAGCCTCCATGTGTGATTTATTTGGGAACTGGGTGTGGGGACCTAAAAGGTAAGAGTAAAAAGCAAACAACAACTGCCTTATCTTATAAAGATGTGCTCTCACGGAACACGGAGCTTATGAGTTTGGCCAGACTGAATGGCCTGCAAGCCCTAGACATACTCCTTGACCTCCCACACTGCTGGGCCCATCTTTTACATGGGGTACTAACTATTCAAGCTCAGGCCCTCATGCTTCCGCAGCAAACACCAACTGAACCATCTTCCTAGCCCTTATTTGGGTTTGTTTGCTTTGTTTTTTGAGACAGGGTCCTGCTACGTAGTCCAGGCTGATTTCAAACTTGCAACCCTTCTGCTCCAGCCTGCTGAGTGCTTGGATTACGACTCTGACCATCCCCAGCTTCAGACTCTTCATTCTGCCTTAGTCTTTAATCGCTAGATGCAGATTTCTGTTATTTGTTCGATTACATTGGACTTGTCTGCATAATGCAGTTTTACCCTTTATTACTAGTAACTCCAGTTACATCTGCAGTTCCTTTTGCCAGCTGTCTGTGATGATAGACACAGCTCCTTAGGACAGAGGCAGGAGGACCACAAGCCAAGCACCAGCCTGGGTACCCAGTGAGACCCAATCACTGATCAGTCAGCCATTCAGCCAGTCACTGGGTGTGTAGCTCGGTGGTCGAGTGTCATTTCCTGGTATTTACAAATTCAGTCCCCAGACCTGAACACAAAACAAGCCCACTAAGCACCTTTCGCCATGTAAAGGAATATATTTGTATATGTCAGGGCATGGAGTATTCAGGGAGCTGTCATTTTACCTAGCACATCTCTCCTTCTAGCCTTCGAAGATCTATGTCTGTCCCACATACAAAAAGACATTTCCCAAAATTCTAACCCTGTCAAAGTCCAAGAAAGTCTCATAGTCTAAAGCCCCAGATTTTATCAGTCATCAAAATCAGCTGCAGGTCGCACTGTGGGTATAGTAAATCAGCTCAGGTCACACTGTGGGTACAGTAAGATCAGCTGCAGGTCACACAGTAGGTATAGTAAATCAGATGCAGGTCACAGTGTGCATACAGTCTGTTCTGCAGCAGCTACTCCTCGTGGACCTGGGCGACTGAAGAAGGGCTGAGATGCGGCTCAGTGGTACAGGCTAGCCCAGCATGTATGAGGCCCTGGCTTCATTCCCACCACCGCTCCCACCTGCAAAGGGGTGGAAGAGCGCAGCCCACAACTGCAGACAGCTGGCCGGAAGGAAGGGAAAGGAAGCTCCCATTCCAAGCGATGTACAGATCCACCTGGAGGGCTGGAGCAACAGCTCACTGTTGGTGAGTGATGACGATTCTTTCGGAGGATCTGGATTTGGTTCCCAGAACCCACATCAGGTAGTTTAAACTGCCTGTAACCCCAGACCCAGGGCTCCAGTGCCTCTGGCCTTCTTGGGTTCAGCACACATAAACATGAATTAAACAAACCTTGAAGATATTTTTAAAATCTACCTAGGAGCTAGGTGTGGTGGCACTCGACTTTAATCCCAGCATGTGGAAGGCAGAAGCAGGCTGATCTCTCTGAGTTCGAAACCAGTCTGATCTATATAGTGAGTTCCAGGTCATTTGGGGATACTAAGAAAGACCCTGTCTCAAAACACAAATAAACAAAACCCCACCTTGGAAAATTCCCTTACGTTTTCAGACTAGAAATAACCCTTCAAGGCTTTGTTCCACTCTGAGTCTCAGTACCAACCTGGGTATTAGTCATCCTTTTTAAAATAGCTCCTGTGAGAACCTACTAGGACACTATCTCTAGCACCCTGCCAGTTTTTTAGTTTTTTGTTTGTTTGTTTGTTTGTTTTTTTGAGACAGGGTTTCTCTGTGGCTTTGGAGGCTGTCCTGGAACTCACTTGGTAGTCCAGGCTGGTCTCGAACTCACAGAGATCCGCCTGCCTCTGCCTCCCGAGTGCTGGGATTAAAGGCGTGCACCGTAGCACCCTGCCAGTTTTAGTGTATTGTTTATTTACTTTTGTTTCTAAAGGCAGGCTCTCACTTTGTAGCCCGGCTAACCTGAGACCTGTGATGTAGACCTGGCTGGCCTCAGACTCAAACATCTGCCTGCCTCCACCTCCCATGCGCTGGGACTTGCAGGTGTACATCACCACTTGCCCTTTTCTGTGTGAGACAGTCTTGATATACAGCCCAGGCTAGAATCAGACTCCCCACCTTTTTGCCCTTTTCTGTGTGAGACAGTCTTGATATACAGCCCAGGCTAGAATCAGACTCCCCACCTTTTTGCCCTTTTCTGTGTGAGACAGTCTTGATATGCAGCCCAGGCTAGAATCAGACTCCCCACCTTTTTGCCTTAGCCTCGCTCCCCTGTAAAAGGTAAGAGCTCTCTGCCATCCTTTTTCATAACACCTATTACAGTTTTGGAATATCTTAACAATTTATTCGCCTGACTTCTCCACTAACAGATGCTGTGTATGAAAGCAGAGACCTCACCTTTATTTCCATTTCTCTTCCCCAGGCTCTACAGTAATGTCTGGAACATGAGTCTTGCTCAATAAGTACTTTGTGACTAAGTTACTAAATTAAGTTAGATGTGGAAAGACGTGGAATAGGAAGTATGGTGTGTGCGCGCACACACACTTTCGTGTTCATACCCTAATCACTGGAGTCTGCTAACCTTAATTTATATGGCAAAAGCCTTGGAAGTGGTGAGTCTGCCCAGTAGCACAATTACCATCTGTGGACCTGTGCAACTGGATGAGCGGGAGATGCTGCATGATTGTCGGGTGGGCCCTATGCAATCACAAAGACATTTAGCTTTGTTTGTTTGTTTTCTGAGACAGGGTTTCCCGGTGTAGCACTGGGGGTCCTGAAACTACCTGCAGACCAGGCTGGCCTCAGAGATTCACTGCCTCTGCCTCCTGAGTGCTGGGATTAAAAGCCTGTACCACTACCTGGCCCCACAAAAGCATGTATTAGAGAGACACAGAAGTTACTGCTAGAGGGGCTGGAGAGATGGCTCAGCAGTTAAGAGCACCGACTGCTCTTCCAGAGGACCTGGGTTCAATTCCCAGCAGTTCACAACTGTCAGTAAATCCAGTTCCAGGGGATCTGGCATCCTCACACAGACATGCAAGCAGAGCACCAATGAACATAAAATAAAAATAAAGTTAAAAAGTTGCTGCTAGAAAGTGGTGATGACAGGGCTGGAGAGATGGCTCAGAGGTTATTTAAGAGCACTGACTGCTCTTCCAGAGATCTTGAGTTCAATTCCCAGCAACCACATGGTGGCTCACAACCATTTGTAATGAGATCTGGTGCCCTCTTCTGGCCTGGAGGGTTACATGCAGACAGAACACTGTATACATAATAAATCTTTTTTTTTTAAGTGGTGATGACAGACTGATGTGCTTTCCGGTGGAAGACGGGTCCACCAGCTAAGGGGTACAAGCAATGAATAGACCTGAAAAGGGAACAGAGCCTGTCCTGAGCCACCAGCAGGAAGCAGTCCTGCAGTTGGCCTTTGCTGAGTGACACTGGCTTTGGACTTCTCGCCTCCAAAATTGTGAAATAATAAATGTGGACTATAAGCCTCTAAATGTCATAATTTGATAATGAGTAATAGCAAATACATGCTTGCAATCCCAGCACCAAGGAGGCTAAGCCAAAAGGACCAGCATAAGTCTGAGGTCAAGCTGGGCTACACAGTGAGTTCAAGGCTAGCCTGGGCTGGTGCTAGAAAGATGGCTCTGGGTGAAGAGCACTTGCAGAAGACCCGGATTTGGTCCCTAGCACCCACATGATGACTCACTTCAGGGAGCCATGCCTTCTTCTGATCTCCATGGGCAGTGGTGTGTATCCATTTACTCAAAGCACTCAGGCACATGAAATAAAGTAAAACTAAACTAGTCTGAGCACTATGTACACTATGTTCCCAGTCTCAGGAAACATGCACACACACGCAGAAGTGAGTACAACCTAGAGAGGTTAATGTTTGTGTTGACTGTAATTTGCAGTGGCCACTGGTTTGCCAATATTAATTCTCCCCTCAGTTCAGAGTAATAGAATAAGAAGTAAGAGCCTAAACTGGGCATGGTAGTACCTTCTGGAAATCCCAGCACTTGGGACGCTGAGGTAGTATTGGGAGTTCAAGGCCAACCTAGTATAGATCCAGTCTCAATTACAACTATAATCCCAGCCCTTTTAGGAGGCCATGTATAAGGACTACCAAGAGTTCAAAGCAACCCTGGACTACAAAGTGATACTATGTCTCAAAAGCCAAAACAAACAAACAACAGAGTAATAGGATTTTTTTTTTTGAGACAGGATTTCTCTGTTAGCCCTGGCTGTCCTGGAACTTTCTCTGTCAATAAGAGATCTGCCTGTCTCTGCCTGCCTAGTGCTGGGATTAAAGGTGTGTACTACCACTGCCAGCAGTATTAGACTTACTGGGCAATTCTCAGCAACATTTATACCTGGTTGTGGTGATGAGATTTATATTCTAAAAATATTAAAGGAAAAATCACCTATACAACTTGTACTGCAATTTAGGGTAAGGGCAAAGTGTTCCGGATGGTGGTGGCACACGCCTTTAACCCCAGTACTCAGGAGGCAGAGGCTGGGATCCCTTAGTTTGAAGCCAGCCTGGTCTACAGAGTGAGTTCCAGGACAGCCAGGGCTACACAGAGAAACCCAGTCTTGAAAAACAAAGGCGTGAACTGTACACTTGATATGGCTTTGTCATAAAGATGAGTTTTAATAGTTTGTATGTTATGGTATGTGTCCGTGTGTGCATTTTCATATTGTGAGTGAATATAGAGGTCGGGGACAACCACCTTCTACCTTGTTTGAGACAAGGTCTCGTTTGCCAGGCGAGCTGACTCTCAGGCTCTCCTGTCTCCAACTCCAACTCACCAGAGGCCACTGGGATGGCCTATGCAGACCACCACACAGGCGTCATGCAAGTCCTGAGGGTTTGATCTCCAGTCTTCAGGGTTACACTATGGTGAATGATCTGCCTAGGCCCTAACTGTGTTGTTTGCAGCCCTCTCTGCTGTATCCCACCTCTCGAGTTCCCCAGCGTAGCCTCAGACCGAGGATGACCTTCAACTGTCCCGCCAGCCTCCAGGTCTGACCACCACACCTCACTACCTTCCTCCTTCCTGTTCTGTCCATGGGCAGTCTGGAGGCAGAGCCCTGGCTAGTCCTCTGGCACTTGTTATGCAACCCACACTAGCCTAAGACTCATAAGGACCCTCCTGTTTTCCCCTTCTGAGTTCTGGGATTACAGGCATACACCACCACACCTGACTGTAAATAACGGCTCTGTGGATAAAGGTACTTGCCTCCAAGCCTGAAGACTTAAGTTTAATGGGACCGCACACCATGGAAGACAAGAACTATAATCTTTTGAGTCATTCTCTGACTTCTATACGTGTGTACACAAATAAATACAAAAGTAATAAAAATGTAAAGACAGACATTCAGTTGCATAGATGTAGGTGTCCAGGGTCTGTATCAGATCTCAGCTGGTGCCTTGATCTTATTTTACTTTGAAGGCAGCATAAGGAATTGGACATAGGAAGCCAACAGGCCAGGAGTAAGCTGGAGCTGGAAGCCTCTGGGAGAAAGATATGTAAAACAGGGAAGCCTAGAGTCCCCAGAGCCAAATACATGTGGTACTCGAGCAAAACTGCCCTGGTCCCCAGCTTCCCCCATCCAATAGTCATCTAGTTAACATCTGTTCCACGGAATGAGTGCTCTTTCCTGTAAAGTCCCAGCTTACTCCCCCGTCATTCCTCCGCAAGCCCAAAGCCTTTCACCTTTGCACAAGTTTTACCTTGTCTCTTACACTCAGTGATTCTACTTTTAGGTATGTCTGGGGACTCCATGTGATGCCCAATACATATAAGCTTCCTAAAATGAGCCACTTTATGCTGAGGGGAGGGGCCGCTCCCTGGACACTGAGCAATCCTGATGCTCCTTAGGGAAAACCTAGGCTCTCTAACATTGTTTCCTAGTTGAGATCAAAACACATTCCATATACAGATAGCAAGACGCATGAAGTCTAAGGTCAATACTCCAGCTGTTGGCTGGCCGTCAGCCAGATGAAGGAGGGCAGGGACCACTTGGCCAATTCCCCATTCTGTCCCTCCCAAAACAGCCAGGAAGTGTACCAGCCTGACTCTAGCCCTTGCAGGACTCAGCATAATTACAGGGAGTGAGTGATGCCTGAGCAGGATGAGTCAGGGTGGCTGGAAAGCCTTGGAGACGAAGGACCACTGAATGTAAGCAAGCCTGAGTTAAGAGCAGCTTACTCCTGAACCATGTGCCTCACAAAAAGCTACATCCTCCTCTGGAAGCCATGCACCTGGAGGAGAAGTTCTGGAAAATTCAGAATCAGGGGCCAGCGAGATGGTTCAGCAGGTAAGAGAACTTGCCACACAAACCTGGCAACCTGAGTTTGAGTCTGGAACCCAGAATGGAAGAAGAGCACCTATCCCTCAAAGTTTAACCTCTGACCTCTGCGTGCACGTCCATGTGAGCATGCATATACATGCGCGCGCGCACGCACACACGCGCACACACACACACACACACACACTTTTTTTGGACAGGGTTTCTCTATGTAGTCCTGGAGCTTGCTATGCAGACCAGGCCAGGCTCAAACTCATAGAGATCCACCCACCTCTGCCTCCTGAACGCTGGGATTAAGGGTGGCCCACCATACCAGGCTGCATACTCATTTTTTTTCCACTGAGAGGGAGAGTCTTTCTAAGCATCCCTGAATGGCCTGGGGTGTGCTATGTAGACCAGGCTGGCCTTGAAACAGAATCAGGACCTGTAGCTCATGTGTCTTATAAAAAACTAGGCTCCAGGATCCTCTGCCTATTTCCACTGGATAATCCCCATAAACCAGGGAGCCACTGGGACTGGAGAGATGGCTCAGAGGGTAAGAGCACTCCCTGCTCTTCCAGAGGTCCAGAGTTCAATTCCCAGTAACCACATGATGGCTCACAACCATCTGTAATGAAATCTGGTGTCCTCTCTGGCCTGCAGGCCTACATGTAGGCAGAACACTGTATACATAATAAATAAATCATCTTTAAGACAAAACAAAACAAGCAGTCACTGTGGGGTGATGAGTCTCTAAGCACTCCTGTTATAAAAGGCAGTGCCTGGGGGCTGGAGAGATATTAAGAGCATTGGCTGTCCTTCCAGAGGACCAGAGTTCAATTCCCAGCAATCACATGGTAGCTCACAACCATCTGTAAGGAGATCTGTTGTCCTCTTCTGGTGTGTGGGCATACAGACATACGCTATATACACAATAAATAAATTTTAAAATGTTAAAAAAAAAAAGGCAGTGCCCATCTCTGATCACAGGATGGGCACTGCTGGTTCCTCTGCCTGGCAACTTCCCTATTATGTTTAACATTCCACATAAATGTCCCCACTGAGAACTACTCTTCCTGTCTGGTCATGTGTTTCTCTCTTCATCTTGGCCTCAGGGACACCACTGGTACCTCTCACACATACACTTCACCCATGTCCCAGTGCTGGGCTAGGCAGCTTATCCTTTCAGGGATATGTTGTCCAAACTGTGAGTGCTAGCTCTCCCTGGCTACCTCACCCTCCCTGTGGCAGAGCTAGCCTGCTGTGGTTGCACTTCTAGAGAAGTCTGGTCTGAGCCTATCTATACTGGGCCAGGCACCAGCAAGGGCCAGGAAGAAAACAGAATAAATACTTGGAGTTCTGGGGGCTAGCCTTTCCAGGAACACACAGGCACAGGTGGCACCAAGCTTTCTTTTTTCTTTCCTTTTTTTTTTTTTTTAAATTTTCTACAAAACCATGTGTCCCAGACAAACAGGACATTGCAAACTCTCTCCCAGGCATTGTGGCATGAAGGGGAGACTCCATGACTGAGCAGCTGCCAACCCCAGAAGAGCCATATGCCCCTCTGCACAAGGGCCAGTGTGAGGGCGGGTTCAGCTGGAGGCCTGCCCTGCCTCCACAAATGCTGGGTCTCTGGTTCTCCCAGTGCCTGCAAGGGAAGGAGAAAGAAATGGGTCTGATAGGAGGCAGGAAGGCTAGTGCCAGGGATGGGGCAGGCCCACCATTTCTCACCAAGAACATGTGACATTATCCAACGGTTATGGTGATGCCAATGACGACAGCCAAGATGAGGACAGTGATAGAAACACAGATGGCAATCATGACTTTTTTCTGTGGGAGAGGGGGGGTCATGGAAAGTCTACTGGAGAGCCCCAGGCTGGGAGCAGAGAGAGGCTTACCTTCCGTGCCTTCTTCTGGTTCTCTAGGGCTATCTTGACATGCTCTTGTCCACGCTCCACATAGTCTGCTGAACTCAGGATGTTCTTTTCAATACGGTTGATCATCTCCCCCTGCTCAGAGAAAGGGACAGTTACGGGGAGGGATAACCAGGCCTGGGGGTGGGGAACAGTTACTCTGCCCAGCTCTGACTGAAAATAATCAAGATATTCTTTGTTGTTCTTGTCTTATTTTGTTTTTTGAGACATGATTTCTCTGTGTAGCCCTAGGTGTCCTGGACTCATTCTGTAAACCAGGCTGGCCTCAGACTCACAGAGATACAGCTGCCTCTGCCTCCTCAGTAGTGGGATTAGGGGTGTAAGCCACCACCACCTGGCTAGTCAAGACATTCTTGGTAGAAAAAAACCTACACTAACAAAGATAAGGCAGGACAAGAGCTCACAAATGTTCAGAGTAAGCATGGCTACTGTCATATTGTCCCTTCTAATCTTTTGTACCATAGCCTCCATTTGTAATGGAGGCTGGCCGTCATCGCTTCCTGTGGCGAGTGCCTATTTCATAGATAGTACACTTTTGTCTGAACTTAGCCATTCTTTAGGCCTGTCTCTATCCCTCTCCGACTCCTCCTGGCATCACCATCTTTGGTCCTGGTATTCCCACTGGATGGAAGCCCTTTCCCAAGACTACCAGCTTCACTGTGGAGTTCAGCTCAGGAGGTCAGGACAAGGCTGATGTTCACCTTGACCCCTACAGCAGGGCATAAGAATGCTATTCCAACCTAAGAGTGCCATTCAAGAGACTAAGAGGTTAGGGATAGCTTCCCACAACTCTAAGAGCATGAAGGGGGCTTTTAGAGAAATCATGATCAAGGCCATGCCTAGGTGACATGCAAGCTGGAGGCACAGGTGGGAATGTTATGTATAAAGGAGTAACCATTGAGGCAGCTGTGGAGGTGGGTAGAATTTGGCTAAGGATGAAGTGGGGATTGCCTGGGAGCATGCTGGATCTTGGAAGGGCATAAAATCCCAGGTGAGTGTCTTTTTTTATTATTTTATTAACTTATTATTATTTTTTATATTCCAATCCCAGTTCCCCCTTCTCACCTCCCACTCCCCCCACTTCCGCACCCACCTCCCAGCTTCTCCTCGGAGAGGGTAAGATCTCCCCTAGGAGGTCTACTAAGTCTGTCCATCATCTCATTGAGGAGGACCAAGGCACCTTTCCACCCCCACACTCCTGTGTCTAGACTGAGCAAGGTATCTCTCCATATAGAATGGGCTCCACTAAGTCAGTTTGTGCATTAGAGTTAGATCTTGGATCCACTGCCAGTGGCCTCATATATTGTCCCAGCTGCACCACTGTCACCAGGTGAGTGTCTTAAGGGTAGAGTTTAACTCCAGGCCACAGCTAGGTCTCAGGCTGCACAGGGCTTCCTTGGATACCGACCTGCATCTCCACCTCAGTAGCTAGAAAAGTGAAGATCTCGTGGAGTTCACGGATACTGCGCTCTAGCTGCTGGATCTCACTGTGTCGTGCTGAGATCTCATTCAGAGCTTGACGTGTCACCTGTGTGTCCTTCAGGATCTGGAAGGCAGACAGGAATTGGAGATGTTACAGGGAGACGAGCGCTGGTCCAAAATTTCTGCTGAGCTTCTGGAACAGCCCTCTACCCCATGACCCCGGCATTCCATTTCACTCCTGGTCTGGCCTTGGTCTCAAAGATGGAAGGCCCAGAGGGACGCTGGCTGGGGTCACTCACATTGGACACAAACACTTCGCTCTGTCCACTGTCTAGCATCTGCTCCAGCTCCTCATCAGACACCATTCCGGCATTGGCTGTAACAAGAAAGGCCAGTTCACAGCTGCTCCGTGCTCCCAAGCCCTGAGGGCCGGGCACCCCACTCACTGATCTTCAGCTGCCTCCGAATGCGCTCCACATTCTTCTCTCGGTACTCCGACTGCATCGAGTTGCACTTGTTGATGAGCTCGACAAATTGCTGGGACAGGACCCCATGCTAAGAACAGAAAGTCTAGCTGGGCATCAGCAGGAACTACTACCATGGGGTGCTGAGGCTATAAGAGCCTTGGGACCTTGGCAGACTCCTTCACCTGCCCGAATGAAAGCCAAAGGTCTTACCAGGGTCCCCATTATGCTATGACTTTGCCTCTTCCCACCCACTCCTCACTACCTCCTTTTTCCTTCCTCCCTAGTAGTTTTTTCCTCAACAAAACATGCTCCCATCAGCCTTAGCACACTGCTCCTTCTGCCTAGAATGCTCAGCCCCACAAGCACCTGTAAGTCATCAATCATCTATTTTTTTAATTTGTACTAACATGTATGGGCATCTTCATGTTCATCTGTGGGCTGCATGTGCCTGATGCCTACGGAAGCCAGGTGTCCTTCCTGGACTAGAATTTTTTTGTTGTTGTTTTTTTTTTGTTTTTCGAGACAGGGTTTCTCTGTGGCTTTGGAGGCTGTCCTGGAACTCCCTTGGTAGTCCAGGCTGGTCTCGAACTTACAGAGATCCACCTGCCTCTGCCTCCCGAGTGCTGGGATTAAAGGCGTGCGCCACCAACGCCCGGCTCCTGGACTAGAATTATAGAAGGCTCTAAACTGAGTTGGGCATTGGTGGTGCATGCCTTTAATCCCAGCACTTGGGAGGCAGAGGCAGGCTGAGTTCTAGGACAGGCTCCAAAACAATACAGAGAAACCCTGTCTCTAAAAACCAAAAAAAAAAAAAAAAAAAAAACCAAAGAAAAAAAAAAGGCTCTGAGCCACCACCATATGGGCGCTGAGACCTGAACCCAGGTCCTCTGGAAGGACAGCTGGTACTTTTAACTGCTGAGCCATGTCTCTATACCACATGTCTCTACCCCACCTTATTTTTTTTTGTTGGTTGTTTTTGGTTTTTGTTTTTTTCAAGATAGGGTTTCTCTGTGGCTTTGGAGGCTGTCCTGGAACTAGCTCTTGTAGACCAGGCTGATCTTGAACTCACAGAGTACTGGGATTAGAGGCATGCACCACCACCACCACCTGGCCAGTTAGTTGTTTTTGAGACATGATCTCACATAGCTCAGGCCGGCCTTAAGCTCACTGATGGTGACCTTGAACTCCTTGATTCTCTGGTCAACCTTCCAAATTACAGGTGTGCACCATGTCTGGCTTCACCTATTTTTGAGTTTTTGATTTTCATCTTATTATTTATTATTACTTTTCTTTGGCTTGAGACAGGGTCCCATGTAGCCCAGGCTGGCCTACTATTATTATAGGTGTGCAGCAACAGGGAGTGGCATTATGTGGTAGTGGAAATCGAACCTGGGGCCCTATGCATGTCAGGCAAGCACTCTAATAACTGACACCCCCAGTCCTTGTTTAAATTTATTTGGGGGTGGGTGGGACTAGGGAGATGGCTGAGTCTGTAAAAATGCTAGTTGTGCAGGGATGACAGCCCACTTTCAATGATCCCAGACGCATGTAAAAAGTCAGATGTGATGCTGTGCCACTGTAATCCCAGCATGCCTCAAGTGAGATGGAGGCAGAGGCAAGAGACTCCTAGTGCAGCAGCAGACACAGACAGACCCCACCGAGGAAGCAGAAAGCCCATCCCTTTGACCGCAGCATGAGCACCATGGTGTGCGTGCACACTCACACACATTCACAGCAGAAGCAAACACATACTTTTTGCATATTGGTGATTGAAACCTAGGCCTCCTGCATGCTAAGCACAAACCCTACCACTCAGTTCTGCTCTTTCCCCTCACTTAAATTACACTTCTTCCCCCTGCCAGCACTTTCCCTCTTCTTATGCTGTTTTGTTCCCTAATACTTGCTAGATTATAAAATAATTTAAGTCTGGCGGGTGGCCTACACCTTTCATTACAGCACTAGGAGGCAGAATCGAGGAGATCTCCAAGTTTGAGGGCAGCCTTATCGGCATAGTGAGTTCCAGCCCAGTGAAACCTTGACTCAAATAAGTAAAAAGTAAAATACTTATTTGGTGACTGTCTTTCCCCACTAGAATGTAAATGTCTCAAGGGCAGAGTTTTTGGTTTAAAAGTCTGGCACACTGGCACGCAGTGTGCACCTGCTGAAGGCTTCTGAATAGCAGTGATGCTGTTTAGACTGCAGGTACACTCATGGACCGCAATGACACCACACTGCCATGGAGCAACAGGATGTTCTCACACCACGGCCACCGCAAGCACACTCTTGTGGGTGGTTACTCCCCCACTCCCCTCCTGACTCCTTAAATAAGCTTACTCTCCTGAACCCCCACTCCTGCACCCTTTCAAGATGCCCAAAAGTCACTACCTACTCCAAACCTGACCTCCACAAATTCCAGCACTCTTCACTACCCACCAGAGGGGCCCAGTCAAGCCACGAGCAATCTCCTCGCTCAGACACTGCCTGACATGACGTCCTCTCCACCAGAATTACTCTCCTTCCTTTTAAAAAGGTTCTTTAAATATATTTTATTATTGCTAATTATGTGCCTTCATCTGTGGGTCGTGCTAGTGTCCAAGGTGGGGGCCCCTCCATAGAGCTGGAGTTACAGATGGTTGTGAACCACCTGACACAGGTCACAGATGGGAACAGCTGAATTCAGTTCCTCAGCGAAAGTGGTGCGTGCTAAGCCATCTCTCCAGTCCCTACATTATCCGTTCATGTATTTCTCCAGTGTGTGTTCACAGGGCAGGGCATGTGTGCCATGGCACATGTGTAGAAGTCAGAGGACAACTTGCAGTAGTCAGTTATTTATACCACATGGATCTGGAACTGAAGAAGGCTATAAGGCTTAGAAGCAGACACCTTACCCACTGATCTGTCTTGGCAGCCCTTTGTCATCTCTTGAATTCTATTTATGGGGTCAAGGATGTCCTTGCTTGTCATTTTAACTTCTATTTATTCATTATTTGTTTATTTATTTTTGGTTTTCCAAGACAGGGTTTCTCTGTGCAGCTTTGGAGGCTGTCCTGGAATTCCCTCTATAGACTAGACTGGACTCGAACTCAGAGATCTACCTGCCTATGCCTTCACACTTGGCTCTTTTTATTATTATTATTCTTTATGTGCATTGGTGTTTTACCTACACGGATGTCTGTGTGAGAGTGTCAGATCCCTTGGAACTGGAGTAACAAATGGTTGTGAACTGCCATGTGGGTGCTGGGAACTGAATCTGGGGCCTCTGGAAGAGCAGCCAGTGCTCTTTTTTTTTTTTTTTTTTTTTTTTTTTGGTTTTTCGAGACAGGGTTTCTCTGTGGCTTTGGAGGCTGTCCTGGCAGCCAGTGCTCTTACTTGCCATTTTTTATTTTTCTCTCTTCTTCCTTGAACAAAGCTATTAGAGACTAAGTCCTACATGAGAAATATCTTTGTTCCCTATTCAGTCCAAATTCCCCACTTCAGTTTTGGGAAAGTATGTCTTTCACAGCCAAGACCGAGTCATGTCTGACACAACAAATTCTCTTTGAATGGAGGTGGCAGGGTGTTATAATGGATTGAGCATTTTGAGACCGGGATCCTCTACCTAGACCAAATTCTTTCTCTCTGTTAAGCACAATGGAAATTCATCAGGACAGAGATCCCAGAATCAAGGATCTCTAAGGGTTGCCCAGTCACCAGTTAGTAATCTAAGAAACACTTGATGAAATTTCCTAGTACTAGGAAAACGAAACCAACCTGGGTTTTTTTCATTCTTGTGTTGACTGAGTTATAATTCTCATCAGCTTCTTCCTTCTGAGGCTCTATGGCTGTGGGAGAAATACAAGGGTTGATGGAAAGGAAGGCTTGTCCTGAGACTTCTAAAAATTGTCTGGGAGGCCAACTGATCTCTGTTTGGGCTAGCCTGATCTACCTACTGAGTATGAAAAGTTATTAAAAAGTCTAAAATGTATAATAAAAAATTTAAATGAGGGATGGAGAAATGGCTCAGAGGTTAAGAACACTGGTTAGGCTTCCAGAGGTCCTGAGTTCAATTCCCAGCAATCACATGGTGGCTCACAACCATCTATAACAAGATCTCATACCTTCTTCTGGCCTGCATGCCAGACACTGTATGCATAATAAATAAATAAATAAATAAATCTTTAAAAAATTTAAATGAGTCAAAAAATTGTTTGGGGACCAGAATACAGGGCTACATCTACATTCCAGCCATATAATAAGGAAGTTCTTGTCTTCGTAGGATTTTTATTACAAAGTGACTTATGAGGAGGGAAGTATTTTGGGTAGTAATACATAATGATGGAGGAGGAAGAGGAGGAGAAGGAAAAAAGGAACTAGGAGGAAGAAGAAAGAAAGGGGTGAGATCAGCCAACTGGGCGTGGTTTCGGCAGGCCTTAACCTCAAACTCAACACTCAAAACGCAGAGAAAGATGGATCTCTGTGAATCTGAGGCCAGCCTGGTCTACATAGGAGGAAGAGGTGGGGGAGGAGGAGGCTAATTCTGATCTTCTAAGAGAAGTTTTTCTTTGTATTACATCAGTGGGTTCCCACAAGAGTGAAGAAGCCTCCTAAGAAACCCCTCACCCATCTGCTCAAAGAACACACACGGGGCTTCAAGAACTATAGCAGTAAGTAATTTTGGATTTAAATGTAAAGTATTAATAAAGGAATTTGAGAGGCCAGCGTGTGCTATGCAAATACCAAGGCTTGGATGCCGCAGGGCAGAGATCCTAGACGCAGGCCTGCTCTGTGACTTGGGTATGTCACTTGACTGTGTAGGCAACAGGGCTGCATCGCTGGGGATGACCTGGCTGAGCCCTAGAAGTTCATTCACCTTTCAGCTGTGCCCGGACCTCTCTCCCCAGCTGTTTGATCTCCTCGCGCAGGTTCTGCAGGCCCTGCTTCATGCCTAAGTGAGAGAAGGCCAACACTTCCAAACCACAGCCTCCACCACAAACCCAAACCAATCCCACGCCCGGCCAACATCTACATAAAACTACACCCCCCATAATCCACCGGGCTAGCATGCGTGAGCCCGGGTTTCGCTTACTCTCCTCGGGAAGGGGCGTGGCCAGAATGGTGACCTGCTGTTTCTCCAACTCCCGGACTTTACTCTCCAGTTTGGCCATAGTTTGCCGAATTGTCTGGACCTAGAGAGGAATACCAAAGGAACTGAAGACATGAGCGGTACTGCCGTCCTCGCTACTCCGCGGCCCTCCCGACCCTTACCTTCTGGAAGAACTCGTCATCTGGGCTGCCCAGACGGGCGGTACCCGGGTGCACCACCAGCGCGACTCGAACCTCATCTTCATCGTCCGAGCTGTGATCCCCCTGCCAGGGCCCGAGTCATTGGCACCACTCGCCCGCTGCGGTTCTCGCCCCGCAGGAACTACGGGCTTCCGGGATTTTCCTTCCTGGCCATCAGCCACCCCTCCCGGAGCCAAAACCAGGGGTCCTCGATGCAGGCGCGCCCGCCGGGCCCCAGCGTCTCCTGCCGGCGTGCCCGCCCGGCCCCGGAGTCTCACCTGCCTCAGCTCGTGGGTCCTGTCGCGCATGGCGGCCCGAGCGCCCCGTCCCCGGACCTGAGCCCCGAGGGCCTCAAGGTTCTAAGTTTGGAAGTCCCGCACCTCTCTCACACTTGACACCCCTTTCCTCGCCCTGCGAACCCCAACACCCCCGCGAGCCTCCAAGGGCCCGCCCCTTTGACCATGCAGTGGCCGGTTAGAGCCCGACCATAGGCCCCCAGGGTTCTACAGGTTGGAATTCCCTTCTCTTCCCCCCATCCCGCTCCCGCAGCTGCGGCCCCGCCCCTCGGGAGGGTGATTCCGAGCATGCGCACGAGCTCTTGTCTCTTCCTCGCTAGGGGGGAAGGCGGAGGTCGGAAGCAGGCGCAGCCGAACGGAAGCGAGGCTGCCTGAATCGAGAGCCCGCCCCCTCTCTACCGGAACATCTCATGTTGGGACTGAAGTCTAGTTGCCCAAAGGCTTGGGAATGCGTCATTTGCACGCAGTCTGAGAGCCTCGTATCTCACATCACCCCATGGCGCCCCCTCATCACGTGACCGGGCAGGCCCCGCTCTGCAGGCTGCGTGCCCGACAGCCAGTCACGTGTTCCGGCGCTGTCAGCGACGTCTCGTACTTCAGTCTCGCGACGTCCCCGATACCCCTGTGTCTGAGCTGTACCCCTACAGCTCTAGAAGGTGGGGAGGGGGTGCACTTCCTATTCTCAGCCTCCTACTGGGGAGACCCTTGTAGGCTTCACTTTTTGTTTTAATTTTGGGTCCTAGGGCGTGGGCAGTCTGAAGACTTAAATTTGGGGGCTGTCAGTATCACGAGACCTTGAGAGTCAGCACATAATGAGATCGGAGTCTACAGCGTCAGAGGATTGCAGGGTTTTGTAGGCAGAGAATCTGGGGGTGGGAAATGACCTCAGCCAAGGTGGAACTCTTCCCCCTGCACACCCTGCGTCCTCCTGGCAAAGGCTCTGACAGGTGGGCGGCCTACGCCCTGCGTGAGCACTGCAGTCCCGCTGAGCTGCCACCTTCAGACTTCAGAACAGCTCAGACTGAGAAAAATGTATTGTTACCTCCGCAGCCCTGAAGTCCTAGCATGACTTGCTTTTCTTTAACGGAGTCCCCAGCACCAAATTCAGTGCTTGGCACATATAGCCCCTCACAGACTTGATCGGAATATGAGCCTTTCATGTATCTGAAACTAAAGCCTGCAGCTTCTCTCAATGTGCCATTTTCCCAGGTTTGTCTCTCTGGACATATTTATTGGGCACAGACCATGGAACAGATATGTTTTAGGGGCTGCTGACACATCAGGAACCAACAGACCAAAACCCCATGCACTTGGGGGGCTTCCATTGTGTAGAAGCCCCCCAGTGTCCCTCAGCAGGTGTCAGCACAGCCAAAAATAAATGTTAGATTTCCTGAGAATAGGTTCCACAAAGAAAACAACAGTATGTTCTGATCAAGAAGCCTAGGTTTCTGAGGCTGGGTTGCTGTGGACTTCTGAAGAGTCATATTTTTGTCTCTGAACCCTGATCTCCCATCTCTGTACTGTAGGCGACTGCCAAGTGTTGTCTGATCCCATATGTGGATCCCATGCTGTGGTCCTTTTCCCTCTAGAACGCACCATGTCTGGAGTTGGAAATGAGGGAGGGAGGGTAAGATGGCCCAAACCACCCCACAGAGGGATGTGGTGCTGGTGGGTTTCTTAGGAGGTCCAGCTCTGCCCAGTGTGGTCCCCTGAGAATAATGTGGAGAAGAGTGTCTGCTGTGGGGCCTGACGTTCAAGGGGTCATGATGCTGTCATGGTAGTCTTCAGTCTGTCCATGCCCCTGGGGACCCCCCCAAAACAAACCAAAAAGTGAATTCTGCAAGGGTATCTTTGTCTATCAACTGCTGCCTCTCTGTTTAATTGCTACTTGCCTCCAACTCATCCCCTCCCTCTGACTCTCTGGTTAGTGTTACAGAGAGGTTTGTGTGGGGGTGACTCTCAGCCTGTCTCCTAGCCCTGTGTGTGGTTGAGAATGTTTCATTGTTTCCCGGGAGATTCATTTTTCCCTTTTGACATCTTGGTCTGACACTTTCTTCCTTGCTAAGGGTAAAGATTGGAGGACATCAAGAAAGGTTAAGGTTAGGAAAGATGTGGTAGGTCTTGCAGACTGCAAAGCTTCTCTTATTCGAGCTTTGCTGCTGTGAGCTTGTGAGTTCCTCCTCTCTGGGCCTTTCAGTCATACCTGCCCATTTCCCAGCCTTTGGCCTCCAGCTGCAGTGTGGAGTTTTGGGTGTTTCTATTAAAGCATCTCAGGGTTATAATATTCATTAGTATTTCATTTGTGGTCTCTGGGTGCAATCGCAGGTATTAAGATGATAACTTAAGGTCCCAGGATACTGGGACCTCATTATTTTCTGACTGTCAAGGTTTCATGATGCTGACAGCCCCCAAGTGGAGTGATGTTTGCCACCGCTGAGTTCTGTGTTCCTTCCTAGGCCCTTTGTAGCCTTGAGTCCTGGGCTTATATAGTGGGCCTTGGGTGTGTAAGTGTTAGTGGAGTATATATTCCTTCCGTTCTGTCTAAACTCAAGCTCTCCATGGTCCTGAGGCTAGCAACCTGTCCTGTCCTCACTGCCTACAGATCTGATCCTCCCAACCCCAGCACCAGATAACCTGGGCTGGGATCCCTGCTCATTCAGCTCTATGAGACAAGTCATTTAACTTTAGTTCCCATCTGAAAAACAAAAGAGAGCAATAGCGTTAAACTCCTAGTGTTTGGTAAGTATTAAATAAGAAACAAGAATAGAATGGCGCCCGCTATGTGCTGGCATGTGTGCTTGCTTTTGCTAGATGGTGATGATGGTGGAGACGGCTTCTCTGAGGATTTCAGTAGCCCAGTGTCTGTGCCAGAGATTCCACTCTGCCGCTTGTCCAGGACCTTCCTTCCGACCCCACTGTGCACCAGGTGCTCGGGTAGCAGTCTTGCCAATCCTGTACATCTCTCCTGTCTCCACCGGCGCCTCTCAGGCCTTATATTTTGCTTACCTACCTCTAGAATATAAACTATGAGGACAGGAATTTTCACCTGCCTTATCCACTGCTGGGTCCCCAGTATCCACAATGATACCTGGCACATACTATCTAGTTATGAATGAATGAGATTCTTTCTTTGGCATTTAATATTTGTATAACATTTAATACATCTTGAGGCACCAATATGAACATTTAATTCATTGAGCTTGACATGGTAACACATGCCCATAATGCCAGCACTTGAGAGGTAGAAGCAGGAGGATGAGGAGTTCAAGGCCAGCCTCAATTACTTAGCAACTTCGAGGCAAATGGAGGTTACATGAACCCAGTATGAAGAAACAAAACAAGGGCTGTGTGGTGCAGAGAACGAGCATGAGGTCCTGCGTTTTACCCTTAGTACTGCATGAGCCAGGACAGTGGTGCCCATTTGTAATCTCAGCACTCGGGAAGTGGAGTCAGGAGAATCAGAAGTTCAAGATCATCCTAAACTACATAATGAGTTTGAGGTCTGCTTGGGCTACAAGAAAATCTAGGAAAAAGAAAAGCATTGGAAGTCATGTGACAGTTTTATGAGACAGAGGTACTGTTGCTGTCTTTCTTTTCCAGAACAGAAAACTTGAACTGCTGTGCCCAAGGTTACATGACTAGTAAGTGCCCTTATTAGGATTTGAAGGCAGACCCAGCTCTAGGGTCTGTCCTTAGTGTGCTGGTTTTGTTGTTGGAGTTTCCTGCTGAATACCTGTACAGCAGACAGACCTGTCGAGAAGAGGATTGGGAAATGAACTGTCAGACAGAAGGACTGCCCCTCTTCTTCAGGTGTTTGTTTTTTGAGGTAGGGTCTGTGTATGCAGGTCTGGAGCTCCATGTATAGTAGAGGCTGATTAGAGTGGTGTGCTGGGTTACAGAAATATGCTACCATGCCTAGGATTATGCTTTGCTAGGGACTGAACCCAGGAATTTGCATGTGAAGTGAGCACTCTGCCAGTGAGCTACACCCTAGCCCCAGGGTCTGTGCTATAACTAAGGTCACCAGCTAGGGACTGGGACTCAGCGTTAAAGCTCTTGCCTCACATGCACAAGGCCCTGAGTTCAAGTCCCAGCAGCTAGAAGGAAAGGGGGATGAGGAAGAAAGGGGAGAAAGGAAAAAGGAAGAGCTGCCCCACCATCCCCAGGGACAGAGTGTGCAGCACTGACCGGCCATCTTTTCTGTGTCAGGGCTCTCTCTCCAATGCTTGCTGTGTTGGCACTGAGGCAGGCCTTAGTCTGCTTCCCCCTTTCTGCCTGCTTTCTCCCCAGGAGCCAGGGATAGCCTCATCTTTCTTAACTGCCTCAGCTGCCCCTGCAGTCATTGCTCATGCTGTGGCTTTCACAAGCCCGTAGGCCACAGAAATGAAGCTCCTGTGGTTCACTGCTCAGGAGTGTGTTTAAGAGTTACCACTTGTTTAAAAGAATAAATAAATTATATTTAAAAAAGAGTTATCACCTGGCCACACTATAGAGTTCCACCCAAGACTCCCATTCCTCAGACTACCCTCACTTCTGTGGCTTTACCTGATGGACATGTCAAGGTCTCCCAGTCCACAGCACTTTCTCAAATGTTCTCCTGAGAAAGCTCCAGGCCTGGAATCAATAGGCCTCCTAGAGGTCTCATCCAGGCTGTCGCCTCCTGGACATGGACCAAACAGCAGTGCCTGCTCTGATAGCCTCCTAAACCCATCCTCTCCATCCATTACACGTCCTGTTCTAATGGGTGACATTGGGTCACCAGACTATTGTTTTGTCCTTGGACTTTAGTCTAAAGACAGAGGTGTTATGGGTGCTCAGTGGTAGATCCCTTGTGCATACACACAAAACGCTGGGATTCACCCTGAAAAAACAAACAAACCACGATACAGATGGGCCTGGTAACTTGTTAGAGGAAGGTCTGTGAAAATGTTAGAAAAGTCAAACTGGTCAGGCAGAATGGCATAACTCTTTAATCCCAGTACTTGGGAGTCAGAGGCAGGCAGATCTCTGAGAGTCTTAAGCCAGTCTGGTCTACAGAGTGAGTTTCAGAACAGCTAGAGACATAGCTATGTAGGGAGATCCTGTTTCCAATAAATAAATAAATGGGAAGGAAAGAAGGCAGGCAAAAACTGTAGGTAAGCATGGATTTGTAAACTTGGGCGTGGAGGACTGAGGAGCCCAAAGTGTAATAATTATTGCAAGTTTGAAGCCAGCCTGTATTATAGATCAGAGTCTGTCAAAGAAGATAATGGGGAAGAG